GTTGAAGAAATGTCATCTTCTTTTGAAGAACTTTCCTCCTCCTCTTTTGACACATCTTCCTCTTCCCTCTCTTCTTCTTCTATAAAATTCTTCTCTTCATCCTCTTCTTTATCCCCATCTTGTTGAACACATTTTTCGTTTTCCCCTTCCTCTTCTTTTTTTGAATCATCCCTCTCCTCCTCTTCTTCTTCCTCCAAATCATACAATATATATTGCTCTTCATTGCTTTCTTCTTCCTCTAAAAGAGTTAACAGTTCCTTGAGGATGTTTTCTTCAATTACATTATTATCTTCATCAACAACCATCTTCTCTTCCCCTTCTTCCGTGACACCCTTCTCTTCATCATCCTCCTCTTCTTGTTCCTTTTCTTCTTCCTCAACAACCTTCTCTTGCTCCTCCTCTTTATCCCCTTCTTCCTCTTCCACAACACTCTTCTCTTCATCTCCCTCTTCTTCATCCCCACTCTTCTCTTCCTCCTCATCGCCACTCTTCTCCTCCTCTTCCAAAGTATCAATCACCTTCCTTTCCTTTTCTTCCAAAATAATTATTTGCTCTTCTTCATCCTCCCCTCCAGTATTAATCAATTCCTCGTCTTCATCAGCCTCTTCTTCAAACCAAACAATTTTTGTTTTATTCTTTTCTTTACAAATTTTATTTTCCTCTTCCTTCTCTTTCAAAATATTTCCTTCTTCTTCTTTTTCCTTTACTTCACAATTTTTGCCTTCATCTTTCAAAATTTCCCTTCTTCCTCCCTTTTCTTCTTCCGCCTTTCTCTTCTCTTCATTAATTTGAATCAAAATGTCATCCAAATGTAAATCAAGCTGAATTTCATTACTTTTAAATGAAGGTTCTTCTCTTTGTAAGTTCTTCTCTTCCGTAATTTGTAATCTCTTCCCTCTAGTTATTCTTGACTTTTGATTTTTGCCAGCATCAGTGAATGTTCTCTTCAATAAACTAAAAAAATTCATTTTGGTTAAGTGCAATTGTGTTAGGCTTTCAACGAAATAGGGGAGGGTTCGAACAGGGGAGGGTTCGAACCCGTTCAGACTAGAAGTGTTTTTTTAAATGAAATTAATTTGAAAACAAATTCCTAATTTTTTAAACGAAATTTTTCTTAAAAAAAATTTTTTCTAATTAAGTGCATTTTCTCGGATCGGGATTAAGGTAACTCGTGGCATCCCTGATAAGAAGGACATGAACATTGAAAATGTAAATTCCTATTTCTGCTTTGATTTTAAACCTTAGGAAATTGGAAATCGCTCTCTAAGACAAGTATTTAATGTTCTTTTCTCATTTTTCCTTTCTTTTTTCAATGAGAAAAGTTTCATTAAAACTTATTGGTTCAAGCAAATTTTTTTTAAATTTAAAGTTATCTGGATATGTCATTTGATATTCAAACAACAACACTTCTTTTATCAATTGGAAATTGTTTTCAAGGCTGTCGATTTATTAATGATACTTCCCTCATTGGAATAAAATCTTCAGAATTATTGGAAAGAGCAATGTTTGAAAAAATTAATTTTTCTTAATTAAAACCCCCCACCTTTTAAAGAGATTCTGAGGACGTCAACAATTTAAGAAGAAAAAGTTTATTGTGTTTTAGAGATTATATGGAATTGTTAAATCAATGGAAATTATGGTTACAAAAAACTTTTCTTTGTACTTTTCTTCGTCCAGATACTCATTATGATGAAGCTGATGTTAGGCCGAATGTTGCTAATATTCAGGTAAATTTTTAATTTTTTATTGACATTTTGGATAGGTGACATTTTTAATTTTTAGAAATTGACCATTTTGTAATAATTTAACTGATTGATGTTTTGAGATATTTTAGGGTAGTCGACATTTTGATATTTCCGATAAAAATTTTTTATTAAGGCAGTTATCGCCTGCAACTTTTGCGGAGCTCCAATATACCCCTCGATAGCTGGACGTATCGAAAATTTACGAACCCCAAAAGTCATAAGCAGCAGCACCTTCAATCGACGAATGGGAGCCTCACATTCTGCTAGAACAAGAACCCTTTCCTGTATTTGTCGAAAGCCTTTACCCAAATGTATTATTTGTAGACGAAGTTTGGGTAGCCAAGCAGAGCCTGAAGCCGAAATGGAATTGATGAATAGCAGTAATATTAAAGAAAAGGGTTCAATGATTGATCATTGGTTTGTTTGGTGTGCTCTGTGTTCTCATGGTGAGGGAAGAAAATTTTTTGACATTTTGAACTTGAACATTTTGAAAAAAAAAATTTTTAGGCGGCCATTTATCCCACATTCGTGATTGGTTCAACGAACACTCAGTTTGTGCTTCTTCTGGTTGTGATTGTAAATGTTCACTTGGTGAAGAAAATAATTGTCTTAGTTAAAGACTTTTTTTAAATTTTTTCCTTTATTTTTCTTAAAATTTTATTCACACAAGTAGAACCTAATCCTTTTTCCCTTCTCGACCTGTATTTATTTAAATTTCTAATAATAAATTGGATAGCTTTGTTTTTTAGTTAATTTGATTTTCGAAATTTTTAACTATTTGATATTTTCGTTTTTCAACTAGTTTACATTTTGAAATTTTTTCTGCTTGTTGACATTTTAACATTTTTTGGTTTAGTTGACATTTTGAAAATTTCAACTAGTTTCTCTGACCACACTATTTTTAAAATTATTTTCTCTAAATTCAAGGATCGAATGTCATTTATTTTAAAATTGCATTATGCCAAAATTTACGCGGATTTTTAAATTTTAAATATTCCCAAAAATAGTTCTCACTATTTTTCGACAATGAAATTTTAACGTCAATTAATTACATTTAAATGTATCCTTCATTACATTAAAATAAAATGCTTTAAAATATTTAGCGATTAAAGAAATGAATTGCAACATTAAAAAATTAAAAAGATTAAATTGCAAGTCTAACAATAAATTTTCCCTAAAATTATTTTGGCAAAGACAGAAAAGGAGATCAGAAAAAAGAAAGGAAAGAATGTAGGGAAATAAACTAATTTTTAATAATTAAAGGATTCTCTTTTGATTTTGCTGCCAAATTTCTTTCGATATTCGTCGTACAAAGTGTCGTTTATATCTGTAGAAAATGATTAAAAATTAAATTAAGGTAGGTCCTACCCCCAAAACGTCCCACTGAACAAAAATCCCCAATATGTCCCACTGAACAAAAAACCTCAAAACGTCCCACTGACCGAAAACCCCAATTTGGCCCACTAAACAAAAAACCCCAAAACGTCCCACTGAACAAAAACCCCCCAATTTGTCCCATGAACAAAAACCCCAATTTGTTCCACTGATCAAAACCACCAATTCGTCCCACTTATCAAAAACCCACAAAATGTCCAACTCCCAATTCGGCCCATTGAACAGAACCCCCAAAACGACCCACTAAGTAAATAACTGGTATAATTTTTAATTATACAGAGGGACCTAGCTATAAGGACTAATTAAAAATATTATTTTACCAAATTCAGGTTCTATTCCCCTCCTTCTTCCCGATCTTCTAACAAAATCTTCAGCAGTAATAACCCGTTTATATACTTCTTTCTCCTTTGAATTTACAACAACATTCGTTTCTTCTTTAACAGAATTAAAACAACAAATTTGACTTTCTAAAGGTTCAATTAAAGCTATTTCTATTCCAAGTTCAATTTCGCCAAATGAAGCATTTAAGGATGATGACTTTTTGTTAAAAGAAAAAGTTGAAGAAATGTCATCTTCTTTTGAAGAACTTTCCTCCTCCTCTTTTGACACATCTTCCTCTTCCCTCTCTTCTTCTTCTATAAAATTCTTCTCTTCATCCTCTTCTTTATCCCCATCTTGTTGAACACATTTTTCGTTTTCCCCTTCCTCTTCTTTTTTTGAATCATCCCTCTCCTCCTCTTCTTCCTCCAAATCATACAATATATATTGTTCTTCATTGCTTTCTTCTTCCTCCAAAAGAATTAACAATTCCTTGAGGATGTTTTCTTCAATTACGTTATTCTCTTGTTCAACAACAATCTTTTCTTCCCCTTCCTCCGTAACATTCTTCCTTTCATCCTTTTCTTCTTCCTCAACAACCTTCTCTTCCTCCTCCTCTTCCGGGATATCCTTCTCTTCATCTTCCACTCTCTTTTCTTCATCCTCTTCCTCCTTCTCTTCCTCTTCATCGCCACTCTTCTCTTCCTCTTCCAAAGTATCAATCACCTTCCTTTCCTTTTCTTCCAATATAATTATTCGCTCTTCTTCATCCTCTCCTCCAGTATTAATCAATTCATCTTCATCGGCCTCCTCTTCAAACCAGACAATTTTTCTTTTATTCTTCTCTTCACAAATTTTATTATTTTCCTCTTCCTTCTCTTCTAAAATACTTCCTTCCACTTCTTTTTCCTTCTCTTCACAATATTTGCCTTCATTTTTCAAAATTTCCCTTCTTTCTTCTTCTTTTTCTTCTTCATCCACCTTTCTCTTTTCTTCATTAATTTGAATTAAAATGTCATCCAAATGTAAATCAAGCTGAATTTCATTACTTTTAAAAGAAGAAGGTTCTTCTCTTTGTAAGTTCTTCTCTTCCGTAATTTGCAATCTCTTCCCTCTAGTTATTCTTGTTGTTATTATTGACTTTTGATTTTTGTCAGCATCAGTGAATGTTCTCTTTAATAAACTAAAAAAATAAAAAAAATTTTCTGGTTAAGTGCAAGTGTGTTTGGTTTTCAACGAAAATAGGGTGAAGGTTCGACCCCGTTCAGGCTAAAATTATTTTTTCTTAAATAAAATTAATTTGAAAACAATTTTCTAATTTTTTAAACAAATTTTTCTTTCAAAAAGAATTTTTTTGGTTAAGTGCATTAGTGTTAGGCTCCCACAAAAAATAGATGAGGGTTCGAACCCGCTCATGGGTAAAACAATTTTTTTCTTAATAAAATTGTGTAAAAAATAAATTTTTTCAATTTTTTAAATAAAACTTTCTTTCAAAAAAATTTTTTCTTATTAAAAATCAATCAAATAAACTATAAAAAACCCTTACTTAAAACGATTATGTACAGCCTGCTCTCTTTGAATTTGTGGTCTTCTCCAAACAGGTAAATTTCCATTTCTTGTTAATTTAGAAAATGATTCGGGAGAAGTATTACAAGCTTTTTGAATTGATAATGGGGGTGTATTTGCCCATTTTGTTGGAGTTAGAGATGATGTTCGAAGACTTCTACGGTTTAACATTTCAATCAAGTCTAAAAAGGAAAAAAATTTTTCTAGAAATTTTCAAAAAAAATTTTTGGAAAAATTATTAATGATAATAACGAGAAAATATTTTTAAAATCGCCAGGGAATGCATTCCACTTAAAAACACAAAAATCGAGTTCGTTAGTTAAGTGGAATTGTGCTAGTCTCCAAGTAAAAATCGGAAAAGGTTCGAACCCGCGTGGGAAAAATACATCTTTTTTCTTATTAAAAAATAAACTTAAGCGAAAATATTTTGTAAAAATCCTCAGAGAACATACCCCACAAAAACACAAAAATCGAATTGTTTGGTTAAGTGCAACTATGTTAGGGTTTCAGTGAAAAATCGGGGAAGGTTCGAACCCGTTCGGGGGTAAAACATTTTTTCTTATTAAAAATTAACTTTAAAACAGTTTTTCTTCTTAAAATAAAAATATTTTCTTTTAAAAAAATTTTTTTAAACAAACATTTTTGTGCTTCTCTTCTCTCTTCAATTGTTGGAACAGCAGAAAAATTTGTTAACGCGCTAATTCCTCTATGGCTAAAATATGAGGAAATGAGAGGTTCATTATTGTTGTTATTTCCTTTTTCTGCCGTCGCTTTAGCTCTAAATGTTCGATAATCTGTATCTCTTAATTTATATTTATTTTTTTCTTCTTCATTTTTTTCTTCAGAATGAGGATGTTTTTCTTCTTCTTCCTCCTCAATATTTGCATTTTGACGAAATGAAAATAATCCTGTTCCTTCCCTTAAATAAATTTTTTTAATTCCCCAAAATTTCGAAAAAAAACCTCTCACAAGTAGAACATTCACAACGCAAATTTCCATCTCCAAAAAAATTTGCTCCATAATAACAAGTTATTTCATCTCCAGTTTGGATATCACGCAAAACTGTGAAAATTAAAAAAAAAATATTTTGTTTAGGAATATTATTTCTAAAATTTTTCCCACAATTTTTGTGAAGATCCCATGAAAATTAAGCAAAAAAATAAAAAAAATTTCAAGGAGTATTTTCTCAAATTTGGCAATTTAGGCTCTTGTTTTCGAGGATACATTCGGACTTAAGTGTGAGTTCAAAAATAGCAACCTAAAGCAATTACTGAAAAATTCTCAAAAAAATCCTCAGAAAATGTTCGTAAAGGCCAGAAAAAATTTTTAGGGGAGAGAAAAAAATTTCCCTATCCTTTCCCATTGGTTACGGGACTAATCCTATTACTAATGCCCTCCCAAATTCTAAAAAACCTCGCAAATATTTTTCAAAAAAAAAACCTTTAATTATCGCTGTATGTTCTTGTGGTCCAGGAATAAATTTACAATTTGCATTACAATCATGATTAATATAAGCTGCGGGTCCAAGCCAAAGTTGGGCCCTTTTCTTTCGAACACTAAACATTACAGAAAAATCATTAATTCCTCTTTGCAATATTTTTGCTTCTTCTTGTTTTGACAATTCTCCAATAACTCCAATTAAATTTTCTATTATACTCCCTTGTTTCCAAAATTTTGTTGCAACTGTGAAAAAATAATTTTTTTTAATTTTCAAAAATTTTTAAAAATTTGCGGACAGATTTTGCGGACAAATTTTAAAAATGTTTATTGAAGGAATACAAATATAACCTCATAGAACCAATGGTTCTGGCGGGTCAGAGAATAAATACAAAAAAATTTTGGACCCAACACATAACGGTTAATCAAAATTCTATTTTTTGGAAATATCGGGGCACGCCTCGAAGACATTTTTTTACGAATTAGGACATAAGCCCTTAAACCCTGACTCTAAAATCCAAAGGAAAGTAGGGGAAAAGGAAATTGTTTTTAGTCAAGTTCTGAATCACATAAATGTTAATACTCGTTCTCAAGAGCTCTGGGCTGCGAACTAGTGTGGGTAGTAGAAATTAGAGACCGAGCTTGGATCAAGGCCTAGGTTTTTACTGTACCCAGAGTCCAGGTCTAAACATTTTTTGACCTTCCTGGGTTTATCATTGACCTGGGTTTTTCCTTGACTACCGGCCCAAGATCCGGCCTTCAATAAAAAACAGGAATATCAACGATAGTATATCATCGATAGAAAGAAATTTTTCGAAAAATTAGCTTCTACATATATTTTTAACAAACTAATAAAATATAAACAAACCTTCTTGAATTGAATAACCAGAATCATGCCAATCATCTGTACAACCTTCTTTATCTTCCAACAAATTTCCATAACCAAAATCATTTTCTTGAGCCGATTCAGCAATAAAATTGTGAGCAGGTATTCCACATTTGAGAAAAGTGCAAATGTTCGATCAAAGAAATATGTTTCGGCAGAAAGATCCGGAATGGCTGAAACTATAGTTTCTGCTAAAAGCCTTTCATCTGGATGCGCAAAAATAGCATAGAGTTTGGACTGAAAAAATTTGAAAATTAAAATGGATTTCTATCTCATAAAAGATGAGTCAAATAAAATACACCAACGGTTATCTAGAGAAAAAATAACAAAAAATACGAACGTTGTAGCCACTAAAAACTTCTCACCTTTTAACATTCAAAAAATTCAATGGCCGACTTCGATAACATGTTAAGCTTAGAGGAATAGGAAATTTTATTGTAAACAATTCTGCCAGTTTGGGGGAAGCAGCAATTAATTTCTGTAAATCAGGTAAAAGACCACCACTTAGAGCCCAAGGCTCCAAATCAAAATCAAGTTCAACTGATCCAGTAGAATTAAATGTTTCTGAAATTTTAGTTTATTTTTCTTTTAAAAAACGAAAAATTTTAATTAAAAATCCAAAAATGTTAACAAAAATTTTGCCATACCACTAGGTGATAAAATCAAATTTCCGTTAAGCATCCATTCAAGCAATGCACAAAGAATTGAGAAAAGGCCTTCCGCTTCCCATAAATAGGGGAAAATCTCTTGTAAAAGACTCTAAACAAAAATTCAAAAATAAACAAAAATCTAACTTCAAAAAAACCTTATTTGGCGATTTTATTATACATCTATAGAGGTCATTAATTTGTTCAACCGTTGACTGAAAATCTGCATTTCGTCGATGCCATTCTTCTGATTCTGCTTGTTGCCTGGTATTTTGTTGTCCCGAGTCTGTACGCAAAATATAGCATTTTCATATAACCATTTAAATTCGCTTAGGATGTTTTGAGCTCTTCTTCCATTTTCAAATGGTAAATAGAAACTAAAAAATATTGAAAAAAAATTTTATGAATCATCAAAAAATTGAATGGATTAGTTTAAAAAATACAAAAGCTTTCAATTCAAAAAATCGGAAAATAAAAAATATTTAAAAATTAGCTTACATATAAACGAATAGTGCAATGCTATCCAAATCAATTTCCCTAAAAATATTAAAACTGTTATTTAAACAAATTGTAAATTACCCAAGTGCTTTCTTTGTTTGTTTTTTCTTTTCTTCTGTTTCGAGAGTGTCTAAATCCATTCGAGCTGTTATCAAATCTTCCTCCTTTAAAAAATTTGAACTCAAAATTAGTTAAAATTTTACAAAAAATAAAAATTACTTTTCCAGGCTCCACAGAAGCTTCAATCGATGTTGCTTCTCCAATAGCATCCATTGGTTCATTATAATCCATTGTGAGTGAATTAACAGTCAGGGCTTCTTTCCTTAGAATTTTTGGGTCTTCGTGTGCTGCTACAACACCCATAATTGCTTCGGACAGAGGAAATGCATGAATAGTAACAGCTGTTGCTTGACCCATTGGAGAAGTATAAATTGGTGGAGGAAAATCTCCAATGAGCATTTCATTCCCTTAAACATAAAAAACTTGAAAATATTTTTTGAAAATCCAAACATTCACAAGTTCTTATAGTCGGCGGTGGAACCTCTTCCGAAGAGTGCACTTTATTTGGAGCAATAACGGGAGCAATTGCTTGGATTGATTCTCTTTAAGAAAATGGAGGAATAGCTGGACCAGGTCCACTTCCAAAATGAGGTAGCCAACTGTGAATTGCAGACGAAGAGAGTTGAGTGGATGATAAAGACGTTTCTTTGTTCTTTGTGTACTTTCTTCAACAACACGAACAACTGCATCTTCTACAGATGGCGCTGTTTCAAGAACTGCGTCCTGATCTCAATAAGGAAGAGAAATTAATATAATTCAGAAATCAGTGAATCATATAATCTTATTATAGTAGTTAGGAAGAAATAAAATAATTATAAATTAAACCTTTCTCTACATGTGGTGCATCTGAATCACTTTGAATCCAATCAGAAAGCGTGAAAAGCTAAAAAATATAACAAAAAATTTATAAAATTTTTAGGGAAAAGGATCCTAGTATCAGATTAAAAAAAATCTAGAAATTCATGGTTAAAGGAAAGGTTTAAATCCTAAAAAATTAACAAAATTCTGGAAAAAATAATTAAACAACTCACTGGAATATAATTAGCTTCATATTTACAATTCGGATTCAATAAGTCCAGCAGTCTCTGCACGTATCGCAACTGAACAACCAAAAAATGGACCCATAAGAACTCGTTTAGGATCATAATCATTAGCATGCAGATTATCCCAGATTGTTGGTTTTCGTTTTAAAACAGCTGATAACCTTTGAAGGTGTTCGGCAGTGATGAGGTGGGAACAACTCGAGGGCCTAGAAATAAAATTAATATCTTCATTGAAATTTAAAACAAAGCTGCTCAAAATTTGTTCAAATTAAAATGAAATATGTATACCAGTCCATAAAATACGAATATCAGGGTGAAGTTCAGCGCCAAGCACAGTAAGATAACCAGACTCGTCCAAAGTTGGCGAAGCGGACGATTCACAATACTCTGAAAAATTTAAAAAAAATGAAAATATAAAAAAACTAAGGAAATCCAAATCCTTCCATTCTTCAATATCTAAAATATAGAAACATAACAAACCTGTTGGGCAGAAAAAGACTAAAGGACATCCCATATACTCACATATTTCATTAGCTACAGTTAATTGTGCATGTGCAAAAGAAGTAAACTTTCTTCTATCCGCTTCATTCATTCTAGTTTCAATATCATCAAAAAGGAGAGAAAAAGCGTTGCAACCAAGAGAGCGAACCTAAAATATAAAAATAAAATTGAAAAAAAGATAAGAAATACTTGATAAAGTTTATCCCTAATTGCTTTCATTTCTTTAACGCTTGAATACAAAATGTCGATACCAGGTGACAGAGCATATACAAAAGTAATTTCGTTGTCATTGGCTGTTCGAATTAAAGATTCGAGTAAAGCTTAAATTTTAAAAATGATAAGTAATTAAAAATAAAAATTCAAAACCTGCTTCCTCGCTCGTGTAAAGAATCCGCCATTCAGCTCTATGCTTCAAATCGTCTTTTGGGGCATATAAATAAGTGTTCATTCCAAATTTGCGAAGCAATGAAAACAATGTTTGCGTTGATCCGTTGTCCAAGGACGTCCATAAAATCCTTCAACTACCCCAGAAATATATGCCTTATCAGGAGACATAATTTTTGTATTAAGGATTTTGAAAATAAATGTTGACGCAGGCTAAAAATAAAGATTGAAAAAAAGTTTTAACAAAGACTACATGAGTGAAAAATATTATTTATGTTAAAAACATAGATTGTCAAAAAATTTGAAAAAAAACTCAAAAATTTATTTTTAAAATTTTCAAAAAAATAAATAAAAAAAGCAAATTAAAATTCATTTTTATTATTTTCTCCATTAAATTTTCCAATAACAAAAGACGTCAAAAAATACATAACAGTACCAATAGTAAGTGGAATTGGAAGTGCTGGTAAATATGTGTGTTCAGATAAAGAAGTTAAAGTATAAAATAAACTTTAAATTAAAAAGAGAAAATTAATTTTTTTAATTTATATTTACCCAAATAAAACACCAATAATTGTAAATAAAACAGCAAAGTTAAAACAACCATCCATATCTGCTGCTGCCTTTCCAACCAATAAACCATAAATAAAAAAATCACCCAAACCAAGCTCAATTTGTCCTTTAAAATTAAATTTATTGAATAAAATCATTTTTTATAACAAACCAAAATTAAATAAAAATAAAGGAATATTATTGTTGTTATTATTTGGAAGGTTGTGGATTATGATATTTGTAGGACCAAATATTGAAAAAACAGAAAATAAATCTTAAATAATTTAGTAAGTTTAAAAGAGAAAATTCCATTAAATATTAAAAAATAAATTTTAATTCTTTAAAATATTTACCCCAAAGAATAATTGCAGCCATAAAGAACCAAATTGTATAACGCGGAATGTGTTGTAAATAAAGAATAGAAAAGAAAGAACAATTCAAGATGGTAAGAGTTTGACGAATAAAAGTTGGTAAATAATCGGTAAAATAAGCCTAAACAAATTTTTTATTTTAAAATTAAAAAAAAAACGTACGGCAACAGTTGTAAAAGTGAATAGAAGAGAAGCAATAATTGTAAATAAATAAATATAAGGATTTTCAGGGCCAAGAAATTTCAGTAAAGTATCACTTTAAAATATAAATTTATTTAAATTATAAATAAAAGTGCTACTCTTTTGTAAATGAGGTAAAAGTTGGTTGAGAGAATTGTGATGGATATTTTTCTATTTTTATGAATACCCAAATGGTTCAATTTTGTTGGCGGGAGAAAACAGAAAAAAAAATAAAAAAAATTTTTCTTACAAAATAATAGTTGCAGGCATAATAAAAGACATCATCATAAATGTAGATTTAACAAATAAAACAACACAAGACTTTAATCGATGTAAAATACACTGACCCAAAATATGACCCATTACAGCGATAATTGTTGCAATAAAAAGTCCATTCAACTTTAAAAGAAAATAAAAATTAAAAAAAAATTAAATATACAATTCCATCGACAAAATTATCTCCAGTAGTAGATAAACCATCAACATCTAGCATTAATGAATAAGTATAATCGATGTTCATTTCATAAACATAACACCAAATAGAAAGCTTGAAAAAATAAATTGAAGAAAAAAAGAAAAAAATAAACTAACAGTAACCAACATATTGAGAAAAACAAAGCCACAAACAACAAGAACATCTCTGTCAAAATTCATTTTTTCTAAAATTAAAAATTATTTTTACGTTAGTAAAATATATTAATCCATATATTCTAATATTATAGGCCCTGGGATGGATGGAAATTGAAAACACACTTACTTATTTAATAATAGCTCTCAAAATTTTCAAAAAATTTATTCCAAAAATTTAAATATCAAAAAGTTATCTTATTAAAAAATTCATTCTCAAAAATTTATATTTAGATTTTTCACTAAAATTTATCAAAAACAGCAGAAGATAAATATGTTAGTGATTACAATGATCGAAAAATTAAAATTAAAAGAATTTTGTATTTTTTAAAACAAAAATATATAATCCTATTATCCCCCAAGAAAATCTATTAATATACAAGGACAGAAATATTTTCTTGCCATAAAAACCCTTTCAAATCAAAATTCTTTATCTTTCAAATAAAGAAATAAGGAAAGTTGACATTTTTGAAAATAAAATTTAAAAAAACCGATTTTGATTTTTTTCTCCTTGTTTATAACTTCTTCCTCAATTTTTATTTCTTGCGATCATTTCTTTTGCATATATGATTCCAATTCCATGTCCAATTCTTCTGCAGTTTTTGTGCGCAATTTTGTTGTTGATTCAGCAAGTTTTTTGTCAAGTCGTGCTGAAATATATTTTTAATTTTATTTATTATTCCGGTCAGCACGTCCCCAGGATTAACCCCAAAAATCAATACTAATAAAAAAAACCAAAAAAACCTTTACGTCCAGCAGCCCCAGCTCTAACACCAATAACCTTCTTTACACCTTTACGGCGTATTGAATTCCCTGAAACACGGCGAAGACGATCACGAATACTTGGTTTTCCACCAGCCAAAGAAGCTGCTGTAGCAGATGCTCCGCTTTCAGAAACAATGCAAAATTTGATTTCTTGACCTAAATAAAGAAGCGTTTTAATATAAATTTAAAAGGTTTTAGAGAAGGAGACAGTTTTTTAAATTATCACGGACGGATCAATAAAAAATTTCTCCGTCCGATATATTCTTATTAATCCAATATATTTTGCATAGAAAGGGAGGGAATCAAATCTTTATTTTTTAATCATTATAGCCAGAAATATCTGTTAAGTAATGTACCAAGCTGAGAAAATAAAGGCGGGTCTCGGCTTAAAAGTCTGTATTTCGAGTAACCCATTACACCTCATGTGTAGTGACAACTTAAGACTCCCTTAACAAGTTACAGCCCACTTCAATAATTAAAAAAATTAACCATCAATAGCAATATCCTTAAATTCTCGAATAATTTCTGCAGCAGTTTTTTGATCAGTGAATAAATCGGCCGTACCCAAATGATTTCCCATCTCATCATAATGAACAGTAACTCCATAACAATTGTATTCTTGAAAAAGCTCCTTAAATATAAGGCTTTTAGTTTTTAATAATTGAAAGAAATCCTATGGAAATTCTGTGGGTTTCTTAATTTAACACAAGTCGATGAAGCAATAAATTACTGCAAAATCATAAAACACAATTTTTGTGAACAGCGACCCCAAAAAGTCATTAAGAGAGAGAACGTTGTGAAATTTGAGGAAGGTTTCTAATCTTTCATGATTTTGTTTTTTTGCTTGCAATTTATCCAGGAATAAAAATTCGGACTTCAAAGGGTTAAAAAATTCAGTTGAGCTAACTCAAAAAAATATATAGAATTAATAAAAATCAGCTTATTGGTAGTGTCCTCACTTTTCTCATTGTTTCATAAAAAAAAGTAAATAGTGCTTTTTCGATATTTTAGAAGAATGCCAGTAAGTAACCGATATAATTTCAAATTTAATTTTATTTTTCCGAATCCTCGACACGATTCGAATTTAATTCAGAATTATTTTATAGAAAACTGATACCAGGCCCGTAGCCAAGATTTTTTTTCGGGGGAGGGGGCCAAGGAGGGGGAAAATTTTTTTGCGCCAAATTTTTGGCGCCGAAGGCGCAGGCGAAAATTTTGAGAATTTTAGAAGGCCCCCCCTGGCTACGGGCCTGACTGATACATCTCCTCGAGCTCGAATTCAGGCCCGGGATTCGAAATAAAATTTGAACCTATAGTTGAACTCAACACACTCGACTAACAATTGGCAAACCTATAAAATATCGAAAAAGCGCAATTCCGTTTTAAAAAAGAGATGAGAAAAATGGGGGACACCAAAAAATGGGGGATATCTTTGGAACCTTGAACGCCTTAAAATTTTTATTTTTTCTGAAAATAATTTTAGGCAAGTATCGACCATGCGGAGTCCGAATCTGAGCTTAAAATTTGTTTATTTCAAACCCCGAAATAGAATTCGACCAAGTCGAATTGAGGTAAGAATTCGAATTTAAAATTTTAGTGATATCCTGACTCCACTCTTCGAGTTGAGTTAAATATATTCAAACGATTAACTCTGCATAAAGTTGTCGAAACTGAATAAGTTTGATACCCTTCGACTCAGCTCGAATAGACATGTTAAATTAGTCCTAAATTTTAAATTTCGAATTTTTATCTCGAATTCGACTTGGACGACTCGGGTCCGAGATTCGAAATAAACGAATTCTAAGCTCAAATTCGTGATCAGCATGGTCAATTATCTATGTAAAATTATTTTCAAAAAAAATTTTTTTAAGTGTTTTTAAAGTGACTCTTTTTAAAGTGTCTCTCCTCTTCACGATTACCCTAAATCTCAATAAATAAAAAAGCAAAGAAAACCTCCAAATCCGAAGTAATAACACTCTCAGGCAAACTCAGAATCTGCATTTTAACCATTCCACTCTGACCGCTTCCAACAGCTTTACGAGCTAAACGAGCACCAATTCCACCCCCAGGTTTGTTGCTGCGAATAGAAGCGAGACGAGGAATTTGTTGACGCTTCTTTCCACTCAAAAGTCCTAGAGCTTTAGCTGCTCCTTTTTTGGCTCCATAAGTCTCAAAATATTTGTCATGCTTCCAACGGCCAGCTGGGACTTCCTTTAAACAGAAAATTATGTTAAAGAACGTTTTTCTAAGGAAAGCTTACTCCAGAAACAAATCCTCTTTGTGGGAAACGAGTCCTTGCACTAGTACGCGGTCCTTCACCAACAGCTGCTTGAACAGCACCAGCACGTGTTACACGTCCACCAGCTCGAACACCGTTTCGTTTTGTCGGTTTGCTTTGACTAATAATTTCGTCCAATGCGAGTGCCAAATTTGCTGCCATTTTTAGTAAATTAGAGAGAAGATAGAGAGTTTAAACTTTCTGTTTAAAATAAATTAGGCATATTAAAAAATGTCAGTAAAAAATTAAATAAATAATGGCTAAAACCCGTCAAACGTTGAGTAAAATGAATAAAAAAATTTTATAGACAAAGAAAAATTTTAACTTATTTAAAAAAACCACGTTTCAAAAAAGAGCCTTCCGAAATTAATTTACAGTCAATTAGGCTCCCCTACAAAGGATAGATGAATTAAAGGATAGATGCGCTAAAGGATAGATACGGCCAAAAACTATCAAAGGATAGATGCATCAAAGGATAGATGCGCTAAAGGATAGATACGGCCAAAAGCGATCAAAGGATAGACAGCTGAATAGGTCGTTTGAGTCTGGACAAAAATGTTTAACAATCTGAATCTTCGCTGGAAAAACTGTTTTTGTGCTGCTATGGAGGGTAGGCCGGGCATGGTCTTCGCTACACGATGGCCGTGCTTCGCTACGGTCGTGCTCGCTTCCTCGCGGCGACCATAGCGAAGCGGCGGCCGTCGTTCCGCTCGACATGCCCGGCTTCCTCCGCAGCGGCAAAAACTTTTTACCGTGAATATACTAAAGTACGAATAAAAATCAGAACAGAAACATGAAATCAGAACAAAGATCAGAAAAAAACAAAGATCAGGCACTCAACAGTCGGTACTCAACTGGACTCCAAACTTTATCTATGTTTTACCCAATTTTAGACGTGTCTATACTTTAATGGATTTTACCCCTATCTATCCTTTGGCGCATCTATCCTTTGATGCATCTATCCTTTAATCGTTTTTTGCCTTATCTATCCTTTAGCAGCTTTTGGCCGCGTCTATCCTTTGATCGATTTTAGCCGTATCTATCCTTTGATTCATCTATCCTTTGAGCGGGCACGGTCAATTAACAAGTTTTGCCATGGCCATGGTGACGAAATTCAGAAAAAGTGTGCGTATTTTTGAGAGACAGCGAAAGAAAAAGAGAAAATAATTTTATAAAATTAATGTTGGTATTTTGTAATTTTCGCTTTTGTTTACATTTTGAAAATTACAAAAAAATTTCAAATTGGAAAATTGAAAATTGGGTAAAATCAATAATGCCAGTTTTCCTTCCTTTTCAATTTAAGTTTTTTCACCTGTTTTTTAATTAAATTAAATTTTTTTGTTAAAGAATGGCTAATCGTACATCTCGTGATGCTCATACAGTCAAAGGAACAAATCCTCAATATTTAATTGAAAAGATTATAAGAACTCGTATTTATGATTCTATTTATTGGAAGGAACAATGTTTTGGACTTTCAGGTTTTTCATATTTTTTTGAGGATTTTTTGTAAAATATTTTGTAGTTTTAAATTGGGGAAGGTCTATAGAGTTTTTTCGATTATGTTGATAGATTTAAAGAATTATAGGACTAGACCGGGTCTCTAAATATTTTATCTCTAGTTTGACAATATTTTTATTTTCTCCAGGCTTCCCTTTATCCTTATTTGAAGACTCGACGAATTTTTAATTGGGTTTTGGTTCAGTAGTGCCAAAGACGTTATAAAGTATTGGTCGAGCTGGGTCTAGACCAAGGCCTGGGTTTTTCCAGTTTCCGGAGTCCAGGCATTTTTTGTCCTTCCTGCTTTTTGCATGGTCAATAAATCAAACCTAGGAACAGGCCCATGCTTTTCAAAAATCTCGAGTACTATTATAAAGGAAAATTTGGGAGGAATAGAAAGAGGACATTGATAGTTCAAATTCCCTCAAGTCTTCCGTAATTTTTTAAATTCTTTGTCCATTTCACAATTAAAGGCCTTATAAATTCTTTTAAGTTCAAAATATTTTTTTCTAGCCGAAACAATAATCGATAAAGGCATGGAACTTCGCTTTATTGGAGGCATTTATGGAGGCAATATTAAACCATGTTTGTTAATTTTTTAAATAAGACGAATATTTTATCAATTTCAGCACCTTTTCTTTGTTTAACACTCAAATTGTTACAATTACAACCTGAAAAGGATATTGTTATTGAATTTATTAGACAGGATGATTTTAAGTATATTTTTTTTTCTTGAATTTTTGAAAATTTAAGAAAAATTTTTAAAGAATTTAAGAGAATTTTTTAATTAACTAAATTTTTTCTAGATATATTCGAGCTTTGGGAGCAATGTATATTCGTTTAACTTTTAATTCTGTGGAAGTCTATAAATATTTGGAGCCGCTTTACAATGATTATAGAAAATTGAGATATATGAATAGAATGGGAAGTTAGTTTCTTTTAATTTTATTTTTTCTAAATTTAAAATAAAATAATTTTGAATTTATTTTTAAATAAAAAATTTATGGCAGCAAATATTTTTATTTTTTGTTTCCGAAAACAGAAAAAAATAAATAGACAAAAAATAAAACACAGATTTTGGTAATCAAAATTTAAATTTTCTGAAATTTAAATATTATCCATTTTCCAAAAATTGGTTTAAATATCTTTTATTTTTTTAAAAATTTTGAATTTTTTAAATTTCTAATAGGTTTGTTAACTCGGTCTTCGATTAATACAAATTTTAAAAATCCGGTTTTCGGTTTTGAGTTTTAGACAAATACCAATTTTATTTAGGTGGAATTATTTAAAAATTACTCATTTTTATTAATTTTTGCTTTATAAAATTTTATAAAAACGGTTCAATTTTTGGCAAAAAATTTCAAAAATTCCGGTTTAAAACCCAGTCGTGAACAACCCTAATTTATAACATAAAATTTAATTTTTTTAATGTTCTCTTTTTAGAATTTGAACTTCTCTATATGGACGATTTTATTGATAATTTAATGAGAGAGGATCATTATTGCGATATTCAACTACCTCGTTTGCAGGTTTCTTTTAAAAAATTTGAAAAATATTTTTTTGTTTTTTAAACAGAAAAGACAAGCATTAGAAGAAACAGACCAATTAGAAGTTTATCAGTCTGCTTTGGATGAAGATTTGGAAAGACTTTCATCTTCTGAGGATTCTGAAGATGAGCGTGACCGTCGTAGGAGATCGAGGCCTAGCGTTAGTTTTTTTAATTTGTTAAAAAATATGAAAATTTTTGGAATTTTTTTATACCCACTTTCTTACTAGTGAGTCTCAAGTTACTTTTTTCATGTCAATTTTTTCAAAGAGGACATAAATTATTTTTTAGTTCATTTATTAGTATAAAAACTTGTTTTTTTTTTAAATTTTATTTATGGATATAAAAAACTCAACTAATCTGATACTGAGACTCAAATAGGGGAGGAACAAAAACCAAAAATTTTTAAAGCTGACTTTCTATGGCTATTTTTTCTGATTTTACTTGACTAGAAGAAAATTTTCCCGTTCATTATTCTCTTTATTTTAATAAACTCGTTTTGAATTATTCAAAAAATAATTTTTATATTTTTTAAAAGAAAATTAAATTTTCTTTTAAAAATTTAAGATTGTCTCGCGTCGTCGAAGCCGTACTCGTAGTCGATCTAGAGAACACAACAGCAGTAGAAGTTATGCAAATCAAGAAAGGGAAATTGAAGAAAGTAATGCTATGAGGAAGAAGTTGGGATTGGCTCCGTTAGAGCGTTAAAATGATTTTTTTCAATTGACAAAATTTTTTTTTATAAATTTCCGAGAAAGTTAAGAAATAATTAGTAAAAAATGAAATTTTGAAGGTTTATAGTGTTCGAAATTTCGTACTATGCCATGCTGGATATTTCCCAATGCAAACTAATTTTTGTTAACAATATGTGCATAGATAAATTTTTGGTGGACTAAAAACGAATCAATTTGAGAAACCTCTTTTCATTGTAGGTTTTTCCCACCCACCAAAAGGATAGCCATATTCATTATAATCTTCAAAATTGTTTTTACCATCTAAATTAACATACAAAAGCGGAGTAAATATAATTATATTTTCTTGTATTTCCTGTAATTTCGTGCAATTATACTTATTTGTTATAAATCCAAATGTTCAGGACAATATGTCATGCTGAAAAAAATAAAAATTTTGGCGAGATAATTATACTTAAGAACACTGAATATAGGACTCAGAAATTAAGCTTGTTACCTATTAGGGCAATGCGGAAAAGGTGAAAAACGGAAGGCGAAAGGAAGCGGAACAAAAAGCGGCATGTAATGACTACATCAGGGTTGCCGCGGGTACAAAAAATCTTCGGGTACGGGTTTCGGGTATCGGGTTGGAGCGTTTTCATTTCGGGTCACGGGTTTCGGGTTGGCAAAAATATCGGGTACGGGTTTCGGGTTACAAAATTCTCATTTCGGGTATCGGGTTTCGGGTTGGCAAAAATTTCGGGTACGGGTTTCGGGTTTGGCGAAAAATTCGGGTTATTTTCGGATGTTCGAGTAGTGGTGAACTAAATTTAAAGGGACAAGCTATGTTGCTTACTAGGATATTGGGTGATATAGAGAGAAGCAAATTTGAAGAGATTAAAGAGACATTGATGGATTTGGAGGGATATCTTCGTAAAATCCCAATATATTGGTAAAATCCCACCTTGATAAAATCCCACTATAAACTAATATCCCTCCGCTGTATCTTCATTAAAGCATCCAATTTGCTCCCATTTTCAGCGCCGCAGGCGAAAATTTTGAGAAATTTGGAAGACCAAGAAGCCAAATTTCTTCCATTTATGCGCCGCAGGCGAAAATTTTGAGAATCTTGGAATTTTTCATTCCAATCCTGGACTCGAACCCACCCTATGAAAATATCGAGCCAGTCGCCTTACCCATTAAACCACCGATCAACATAGTGACAAATGGAAGAAATTATAAATATTTCTTTACCTTTTCCTCCTTTCTCTTTCCATAATTTTAAAATTTTAAAAATCGGGTAAGGCTAAGTTTTCGGGTAGAAATTTCGGGTTTTAACCAATTTCGGGTCACGGGTTTCGGGTTGGAAAAAATATCGGGTACGGGTTTCGGGTTGGAAAATTTTCAATTCGGGTATCGGGTTTCGGGTACAAAAAAAGGCCGGGTTTCGGGTTTCGGGCGGCAACCCTGGACTACATTATGCTTGGGAGTGACAATATATTAATGTTCTTTCAGTTCCAAACAAATTAGTGTTCTTTCAGTTCCAACATCTTTCAGTTCCAAACAACCCTCTCTAGGCTTGTCTCAGAAAGTAGTAGTTTCTTTTGTAGTCGTTTTTTTGACAGAATTATCAGGAACGAGCATTTTGGAAAAAAGATACTGATTTAACAAAAAAATTCCAGCTTACAAATTTCACAAACATTTTGTCACACTGTTGGAATGCCGCATTTTCGTTACAATTTCATCCAAATATTCTGCATGCTCACTTGCATTGAAGTTGTTGGAAGAATGTGGAAAGTAAGAAGATGATTGTATATTGGTCGGTATGGTCCCTATCCGTAATTTTCCATTTTTCTGGTTTACGAACATTTTCTTGTTTGGGGCAAGAGTATTTGAGTGGGGGCTTCTGACAAAATTTAAAACCGATTCCATCAAAATAATAAAAAACAACTGCCTCATGCTTATGTATGTTTCGATATAGGAATACATGACGATTTGACAAATTCCAAATCAGGTTCACCAACTAAAAAATAAATATTTACTTGACAAAGATGACTGTCAAGCGTTGAGCTTAAAATAAGGCGAAAAATTAGAAATATAAAAAGCTATTTATATGTGTGATAAAGGGCGATAAGTATGTAGAGACAGGTTAAGTATTTGTTGAAAGGCTAAAAGGCCCCTTAAAAGGCCCTTTTTTGTTGAAAGGCCCTTTATTGACTTTCTCCCAACTGATTTTAAAAGACATTTGTATCGAAATTTTGCCTCCGGTATACTATACTACAGCCTAAATATGTTCACTCGTTTTTTATAGTTTTTTTGTCCGGGTTAATACTTAGTTATGAGACTTGCCCCTATCTTATTGACGCGCTAAAATTAGCAGTACTTTTCTATTTATATTTGGGCTCGGCATTATGAAATATTAATCCATCAAAATTTATACTCATTAAATAGAGAATTAAACGGAGTATCTAATCAAATAAATTATTTTATCATAAAATGAATTTTTTACTTCAGTCACTCTTGCCCCTATCTTTATGTCGATGACTGTAATTTTAGTACAAAAAAGATATAGAATATAATAACTATTAAAAAATTAACCTATTGAATTTAAATCTTGAATTTTAATAAAATTTTTAAAAACAAAGTTACGAACATAAAACTCGTATATAACTAAAATAAAAATTTATTCCATAATACATATGAAGGTTAAAGATTACCTCCTTATTATAATTGTAAATATTTACTGTCACATGCCAAAAAGGAAGCATTTTAAAATTTATTTTCAAATTTTTATTTAAATTTAAAAGCATTAATTTTATTGCTGTTTAAATAATAAAATATCTAAATTTTAGAAATCCGAAAGAATTTTTAAAAATTTTAATTTGTACATTTTGTTGCTTAGAAAATGGTGAGATTTTGGCTCAAAATATAAAATTGTTGGCAATAAATTTTGTTTAAACAGCTAAAAATAAATAAAATAAAATACCTCTGACGCAAAGAATATACCAAAAATTTATTCTCCTTCCCTTTATAAAGGATTTTTTGAAATGAATTGGCACCAGATTTTATTTTATACTTTTCTCAATAAAGCACACCAAAGCGTTTAAAAAGCTAGCTTACTAGAATGTCTAAAACAACACTAGAATGGTTTTTGTAAAGGAGTTTTGTTCTTATTCTGATTTTGTACTTCTTTTGGCTCTGGTTCTGATTCGGATATCGAATACTTGTTGCCGAAATTTATTGAATACCGTTTTACTTCTAATAGAATGCACGGGCATTCAATTTTTTAATTACCTTCCAAAGGAGCACTATTAGAGGGTGGGGCATTGTCAAAGAGATGGGGAAACATTGTATTGTCAAATAGAGGGTACAAAAATGCAAAAATGAAGTAAATGAAAATAATTAAAATATTTATTGAAGACATTATTTTTTTAGAAAAAGTTTCTAAATTTCAGTAATTTTTTAATTTGTTCTAAAGATCGATTAATTAGTATAGAAAATGTAAAACAATAAAGTTAAATGTTTTAATAAAATAATTTTGAAACTTGTTTTTGGTTTCAACTTTTGGACTAAATTTTTAGAAGCTTAAATTTGTATTTAATGTAAAGAAGGGAGTTACACGAAACTAACCACTAGTGATGGGCGGGATTCCCGGTCTCGGTTCCCGAGTCGGGAAATTTCCCGGGTTTTTTGAGCTCTCGGTCTCAATCTCGGTGTTTTAGTCTCGGAAAACGAGACTAAATTTACACCCCTAATGACGGAAATTTTTTGAATTTTACTCGTACCTCCTGGACTTTATCATCAAAATTCTTAAGAAAAATGGAACAAAATATTTATATTTTCTTTCATTTTTTCTCTTGTTGGTCGATGGTTGAGTGGCTAGGTTGGTTGACTTCACTCGTTTCGTTATTTTGATAGGAATGGGTTCGAATCCAGGGGCGGAATTGAGGCCGAAAAAATTTTTCTTTTCAAAAATAAATGCCTTTTAACTTTGATTTTGATTTTAAATTTATTTTTTTAATATTTTAAACTTGAAAAGCCATTAAAAATTTTAATTTAATCATGAATTTTTCAAAATCTTCTTATGAGGCGCCTAAATCCTCACTTGCGACGCAGAAAATGGGAGAAATCTGGCTTCATGACCTCCAAAATTCTCAAAATTTTCGCCTCCGGCGCAGAAAATGAATGAAATTAAAGGAATCTTTTGGAAGGATATCTATAATGAAGGATATATAGGATATATATATATATAATGAATCTTTTGGAAGGATATATATAACCTACATAATCTTTTGTTCTCGACTCTCGGTCTCGACTCTCGGTCTCGACCCGGGACTCGGTCTCGGGGTTGATTCCCGGTCTCGGTCTCGACTCCCGACTCTCGGCTTTTTTTAACTCCCGACCATCACTACTAACCACCCATTACCTTTAATTGAATCCCCCCTTTTTTAATGATAAAATTTTTCAATAATTTCAGTTTTCAATATTTTCAAATATTTACGTAATAGATTTTATAGACATCATGGAACTTGGAGGTGATTTTGAAAGATTAAAAGAAACATCTGTGGAGTTGAAGAGTGAGTTGAGTTTTGAAGAAATTAAAGAAGTTTTGGGAAATTCTCAAATCGGGTTTCAGCTCAAGACAAAGTCCATATTTATGACCCATCCCATCCCAATTTTCCAAAAACCTTTCACTATCTTAAAGCCATTCATTCCTAAACCCATTCTTAAAACAAAAATCCAAAAACACAAATTCAATATTTATTTAGCAATACAACATAAATATACATATTATAATAGAGCGCACAAACAATATACAAATATACATTCAAGATATGGTATATATACAAAATAGGGTAGTAGTATAATACTCCCAATGCGCGCAAATATATAGGAAGACATTATATGAGGGAAAATGGACGAGGAAAATAATTATGGGGATACAATTTATGTAGGTGAGTTATTTTAGATATATTATCCTATCACAATCATCTTCACTTCTCCTCTTCTCTCCCGCTCCTCTCTACTTCTTAGACGTTGCTCCTCCAGCCTTCGATGTCGCTCCTCCCTTCGTTGTCCCGGCAGCTTTCGATGTAGCACCGCCAGCAGTTGTCGCTCCACCGGTTTTGGCCTGCGTCCCTCCAACAGTAGTCATTCCGCCGGTCTTTGCTTGGGTCGCTCCAACGGTCGTCCCACCAACTTTGGTCTTGGTCTTCGTACCTCCAGCGCCGGTCATTCCCATTTCCATTCCCTCTTCTTCTTCACCTTTTCCGCGGAGCACGAAGAACCAGACAAGGCCACCAACTACAGCAAGCCTATAATTTTATTTTGAATGTAATTTTGTTAAATAACCCAAATCAAAAATATAAAACTCACAGGACTACAACGGCGATGACGATGCCAATGATGAGACCCAAGTTACTGCCGGAAGCTTCAGATGGTGGTGCAGTAGTTGTAGTTTCAACAGGAGCAGTGCTTTCATCAGGACCAGTGCTTCCAGCGGGATCAGATGTCGGCTTTGAACCAGGAGGAGCACTACCACCAAGCAATTTGAACCAGTTACCACTCTAAAAAACATGTTTGTAAACAAAATATTTTAATTATATCAATAAAAACCTTACCAGTCTGAGGGACAGCTCGCACTTTGGAAATTTGTTCCCATCAATCCTTTTGCCGTGGTCAAGCGCTTGCATCTTGACACTATGGGCGGGCACAACCTTCAGTGGCAGAATGTTCAGCGTGAAGAGATATTTGAACTCGTCCTTATGCGCCTCGTCTTTGATCTCCCACTCCTCAGCCTTGCGAAGAACATCAGGATTGGTGCAGTAGATGTTAGATTGAGCTATCCTGTCGTAGTCCAATGCGCTCTGGCTTCCGCAACCGTGCTTAGACGGAACCTGCCATCCTTTGAACTTTTGATCGAAGTTGACTGTGATAGACGCGGTGCTTTCGGGCATTTTTGTTGCAGAAGCGCAGTACCAGATTCTCGGCTCACCAACTGAAAAATTAATTTGATTAGATAAAAATATTTTTGTTTATTTATTTAAATTCCTCACGGATGTGCAGGTTGTAGAGCATCTTGTCTCCCCTTCGTCCAAAAGCAACAGCGAACTCGGTCGAAAGCAGGCATTGTCCGTGACGTCCTTTTGCTCCTTCACTCTTACATTCTTTCGAACACCCAATGGGAGCACCTGTCTTAGGTCCTTTATCTAGCAAATCGACGAGACGTCCCTCCTGCAGACTGAAGGTGTACGGAAACCTAAACAAAAATTTCATCAGCATAAAACATTTAAACAATGATAATTCACTCACATATTCTCGTCGCCGACCCTCTCATCGTGCACCTCATTCGTGCCTTTTACTCCAGCGTCCGTCAAGCATTCCATCAGATTCCCGGTGACGGTGAAGTCCAGCTGGATCCCTCTGTTCTTCGTGAGCAAATCCATGGAGCATCCTTTTGTCGCATGTGTGGCCATCAAAAAGATGAGAATTTGAAGCGCGCTCTTTGCCTTTGTAGCTACTTTCCGAACTGTCGTCGCTTTAGAAGTTGTTTTTGCTTTTGTAGTCTCCTTTCCGTCCTTTTCCTCTTTAGCGGCGACCTCCTCCTCCTTCGGCGGGTAAGGTTCTCGATAAACCTTACCCGCCATTTGACGCTCCTCGTGGCGGCTCCTTCTTCTGGAAGCAAACACAAGCAGGCCTATTCCAGCAATGAGTGCCATCAACAGCGAGAGTCGAGTAAGTCTAAATTATTTAGAATTAAAAAATCGAATTTAGATTTAAAGATAAAAACACTTACAATCTTCGAATTTTTGACGCCTCTTTTAAAGAATCCTTTGACTGTTTTCCAACCATGTCGCACCAGACAACGCATTCGAGCAGCAACAGAGCGACCGTGAGCAGAAGAAGAGCACGCGAAACCAGAGCCGATGTCGAGGCCATCCCGTTGACGCCTGAAGAGTTGCAGCAGCGCTTCCGCATTACAGGTACGTCGACGAACGTAGATGAAGAGAATTTGTTGTAGACGATGATTGATAGTTGTGTTGTTAAGGCAGAAGAAATGATGGCGTTTTTATAGCGTTCCTCTCTCTCGGAAAAAGAAACAGACTTTGTTGTGTAATATAAAAGCCAGTCTCAGCATCAGTCTAGTTGGATCATACTCGCCCAGCAGTCCGGCAACCAGTGCTCGTCAACTGTTCGGCAACCAGTGCTCGCTCGTCAACAGTCCGACAACAGATCGTCTACAGGCGTGTTCAGATCGACAACAGCAACAGTGGAGACTAGTACTTAGTAAAGTATTGTGACGAAGTGTAGTGAATTGCTTGACGTGAGTTAGAGATTGGATTGTAGGTGTAGGAACAGCGTAATTAGTAAGTGACATGAATCGAAATTGAGTTGTTAGAGCGCAGTGGACGTGAAGGGTCGTGAAAAGGACAGTGTTAGTGCCAATGGCTAAGTTAAAGGGTGACTTAGTGGACCTGTAGGTTGATGAAAGGTTGATGAGACAGAGTTGTTTTGCTTAGTTAATTTTAGTAATTCCGAGAATATTCTTATAACAAATGAGGAAGAAGAGCTTTTTCTGTATTTTTGAGATTAGCCATTAGATGGATAAATGTGCAGAGTTCGAATATTTTATTTATCTCGCATTTCACACACGTATATATTAAACATTTGCCTTCGGGCAAATGCTTTAAATTATGAAAACTTTAAAATTTAAAACATCGGTTAATCAGAAACCATGGGTCAGTTAAAGATGGAATCCTTGTTTCTAACAAATATTTTATCCCTTTTTCCCCTTTTGACTTTTTAAAGAAACAATTTTAAGGAACAAAATTAAGTACTATTTACATATTTTTTAATTAAAAAACTACAAAAATAAGCATTAAAATATTTAAGTGTATTTATTAATAGAGAGACCATAATAAAATTATTCAAATAAAATTTAGAAAAAATTTATTCCCGCATCATTCTAATAAATTCCTCAAAAGAAATTCTCCCGTCTTGATCCTTTTAAAATTATTTAAAAAATTTTAAATTAATTTCTCTCATACTTGGTCAATTGTTTCAAATAAAACTTCAACAGCATTTTCATCTTTCAAGTCTGCTGTTTTTGCTAAAATGTGACTTAGATCTTCTAAATTTAATTTTTAGAAGAATTTTTTTGTTAAGCATTTTTTTGTGTTACCCTTTGTAATAGAACCGTCCCCATTCCATGCAATCTCTTTAAATTGGTTACGAAGTTCTTTAACCGTTATTCGATTGATTAGAGGGCAACGAAGATAGGTAACTGTAATAAATTTATTCAGTCGACGAACCCCGTTATTAATTACACCCTCAGGGCTATTGTATACGTGTTCATGCTGTGGAAAAATTGTGGATGGGAGATGGAATTGAACCATCAAGGAATGAGCCCAGACCGAAGCACAACCGACTGTGCCACCATCCAACCCGATGTTGGGTTATTTATTTTCATTTATATTCTTTCTGCAAGTGCGGACACAACAAGGGCCTTATAATCAGAGTTGCGTCGTAATTGAAAATATTTTTTCGTAATCGTAATTCGTAATTCGTAATTTAAAAAAAATTTTCGTAATCGTAATTCGTAATTTAAAAAAAATTTTCGTAATCGTAATTCGTAATTTAAAAAAAATTTATACTATACGTATCCTAATTCTACTATACGTATCCTGAAATTGGCTAGCCACTGAACGGGAGAGCTGCCTATTCGAAACCTCTATTTAAGATACACCTCACTAAAAGGTAAAATTTTTTAATTCAAAGGGTGTACAGTATAAGGAGGTTCAACTGTTATTTACCTACCAAATGATTGCTTGTCAATTTTTCCGGAATCTAAAGAGAAAAAAAATATTGGGAAAATTCAAAATAAAATTACTTTCGTGGTCCATTTCACTAAACAAAAAATCCAATTCTTTCCTTGTTGGTTCTATTTTAGCTGAAGATCTCAATAAAGCTGCAATTTCGTTTCGACTTAATCTTCCATCCTTGTCCAAATCGAGTAAATCAAAAGTGTCGGATAATTCTAATGAATTAATTGGGGGATTTTATTGAGATTTTGAGAAAATTAAACATTTTGGAAAACTCAAAATTCCCTTAATGTGAACCGAGAATTGGCTAGGAAATTTCAAGCTCGACGTCCCTATGTAAAGAGCATTCTGCAAAAGCCATTTTTGATGCCTTTTACTCATTTTCCCTCTCTTAACTTCAGGGCTCGTATATAGGTATGTGGATTTTTCCTTATTTTGTGGGTTTTTGATATATCGAGGAAGGTTATTTTTAAAAATGTGTTGTGGGGATTTTTATTTTTTATTGAAGGTTTTAGAACAAAATGCCATTTTTTCTACTCTAGCCTTCCAGAATCCTCAAGATTTTCGCACGCGGCGCTCAATTCACTACAAGTAGAGATGGCAAAAGCATCGGCTCTCGGCAAGCATCACTTATGATTCACAATTCAGCTTTAAAACTCAGACCTACAGGACCACTAGGCAACTCCTCTCTATCTTTAAATCACTTGCACTCACACTAAGTCCTTTTCCAGTCACTATCACAAAAAGTCCACCTACACTTACAATTCAATTTCGACTCATGCCGATCATTAACTACGATGTTCCTACACTTACAATCCAATCTCCCCCTCCCTAATTGCAATAAGCAATTCACTATACTTCGTCACAATACTTCACTAAGTACTAGTCTCCACTGTTGCTGTTGTCGATCTGAACACGCCTGTAGACGATCTGTTGTCGGACTGTTGACGAGCGAGCACTGGTTGCCGAACAGTTGACGAGCACTGGTTGCCGGACTGCTGGGCCAGTATGATCCAACTAGACTGATGTTGAGACTGGCTTTTATATTACAGAACTGAGTCTGTTTCTTTTTCCGTGAGAGAGGAACACTATAAAAACGCCATCATTTCTTCTCCCTTAACAACACAACTATCAATCTTCTATCGTCTACAACAAATTCTCTTCATCTACGTTCGTCGACGTACCTGTAATGCGGAAGCGCTGCTGCAACTCTTCAGGCGTCAACGGGATGGCCTCTACATCGGCTCTGGTTTCGCGTGCTCTTCTTCTGCTCACGGTCGCTCTGTTGCTGCTCGAATGCGTTGTCTGGTGCGACCTGGTTGGATTTGCTAAGCATGAAAGGAAGGACAACAAGATCATAAAGCTGGGCACAGGCAGCGGGACTGATTGTGCTGTTGAACAGGGGAAAAACGGGGATATGTAAGCACATTTATTTTATAAAATAAATATTTTAAAAATTTTGTTTTTAATTTTTTACAGGATCATCAAGTACAAAAAGGGACAGCCACATGCGACAAAAGGATGCTCCATTGATCTGCTCACGAAGAACGAAGGGATCCAGCTGGAATTCTCCGTCACCGGGAATCTGATGGAATGCTTGACGGACGCTGTGGCTAAAGGGAATGGCGTTAAGGATGAGAGGGTCGGCGACGATAATTTGTGAGTGAATTATCATTGCTAAATTTTTCTGACCTGATATAATTTTTGTTTAGGTTTCCGTTCACCTTCAGTCTGCCGGAAGAAGGGTTCAAAAATCTGGTGAAAGAAGGGCTTAAAACAGGTGCCACCTCTGAGTGTTCTGGAACATGTGTGCAAGAACGTTTCGGAAAATGCCTGGTAGCGACCGAGTTCGATGTTGCTTTTGGACGAAGGGGTGACTTGATGCTCTACAACGTGCATATCCGTGAGTTTTAAATAAATATCATTGAACATTTAAGAAAATAATCATTGATTATTAATCAAATTAATTTTTTAGTTGGTGAGCCGAGAATCTGGTACTGCGCTTCTGGGAAAAATAAGGCCGAAAGCACCGCGTCTATCACAATCAAGTTCGATCCAAAAGCGTTTCCAGGATGGCGGGTGTCGTCTGATCACGGTTGCGGAGGGAACGCATTGGACTACGATAAGGAAGACAAATACTGCCACACTGAACAGGTTCTTCGCAAGGCTGAGCAATGGGAGATCACAGACCAGGCGCATAAGGACACGGAATTCAAATATCTCTTCACGCTGAACATTCTGCCATTGCACATTGTACCCAAGCATACGTCACATCGACAAAACATTGAACTTGGCAACAAGCTTGATGGGAACAAGGGTCCAAAGTGCGAGATGTCCCTCAGACTGGTAAAATTTATTTTATATATTTAAAATATTTTGTTTACAAAATTCTTATTTATTTTAGAGTGGTAGCCGGTTCAAACAGTTTGGTGGTAGCGCTCCTCCTGGTACAACGCCTCCTGGTGGAACATCTGGTCCTGATGGAGGCACTGATCCTTCTGTTGAAACGTCCACATCTGGTCCATCTAGTGGAACTGAAGCTTCCGGCAGTAACATGGTTCTCATCATTGGCATCGTCATTGCCGTTGTAGTCCTGTGAGTTTTATATTTTTGATTTGGGTTATTTAACAAAATTACATTCAAAATAAAATTATAGGCTTGCTGTAGTTGGTGGCCTTGTCTGGTTCTTCGTGCTCCGCGGAAAAGGTGAAGAAGAAGAGGGAATGGAAATGGGAATGACCGGTGCTGGAGGTACGAAGACCAAGACCAAAGTTGGTGGGACGACCGTTGGAGCGACCCAAGCAAAGACCGGCGGAATGACTACTGTTGGAGGGACGCAAGCCAAAACCGGTGGAGCGACAACTGCTGGCGGTGCTACATCGAAAGCTGCCGGGACAACGAAGGGAGGAGCGACATCGAAGGCTGGAGGGGCAACGTCGAAGAAGTAGAGAGGAGCGGGAGAGAAGAAGAGAAGTGAAGATGATTGTGATAGGATAATATATCTAAAATAATTCAACATTTACCTAAATTGTATCCCCATAATTATTTTCCTCTTCCCTCATATGTATTCCTATATCTTCCTATATATTTGCGCGCATTGGGAGTATTATACTACTACCCTATTTTGTATATATACCATATCTTGAAATGTATATTTGTATATTGTTTGTGCGCTCTATTATAATATATGTATGTTGTATGTATTGCTAAATAAATATTGTATTTGAAGTTGTGTTTTTGATTTTTGTTTTCGGGTTGGGTAGGGATGGGTTTAGGGATGGGGTCTTAGGATGGCTTTAAGATAGTGAAATGGTTTGGGAAAATAGGGGATTGGTCAGAATTCTTGACTTTGTCTCGATCTGAAACTCGAGCCTAAATTAAAAGAAAGGGGTCTTTTGCAGAATGCCCTTTGCGGGCAAAGGGATGTCGAGGGACAGTTACCAATAGACTCCATTTCATTTTGATCCTCTCTGAAACAAGATAGGAACTTAAAAGTTTCATATACTCTTTTCCCTATTTTTTGGGGTACAGGAAACAGGAATTCCAGATTTTTTGTCGGTTTGGAGCGAGCAATTTTCAACTTCCATTTCTCTTCCCAGATTATTTTCAAAATTCTAATAATTTCTCGAGCTTTTCTCGATAATTTTGAAAATCCCACAGAATTTTAATAGTCACCCCTTACCATCATCATTTAGCAGATACCGCCTGCAAATAAATTGCTGCGCAACTGCAGTCATTTGTAATTGTTGTTGGCAAGCAATTTTTGAAGATTTTTAAAGAAATAATAATTAAAAAAAAGAAATTTTGTTTTGTCAAATATTATTTTTTGAACAGTTGGAAAATTATCTAAAGGGGGAAGTAAATAAAAATATTTTTCATAAAAAGTAAACACTTTAAATTTTAAAAATTTTCCCTCTCCCTTCAATTTTTTCAAAACACAATCATTTTTTACTAGGCAATAAAAATATTGCTTTATCAACCTTTTAAAATCTCCTCTCATTTTAAACCAAAACACATCAAAAAATTATTTTTCAAAGAAACCCACAGAAAAGAAAAATTTAAAAGAAAGGACAATAGAAGACAGAAGACTATAAAAGCCTTTGTTTTCTATCACTTCCGGAAAAGTTAATTAAAACACACATTCTCTCTCTCTCATATTTTTCCGGAAAGAGAAAAATAAAATGAATATCATTTCCGGAAACCTTTTATTCATTCTTTTCTTCTTTTGAATAAAGGGAATAATAATTTAAAAGATTATTAAATATAAAATTATATATGGAGTAAAAAAAATTTTTTTTCTTCAAAAAAATTTTTTCTTCAGAAAAATTTTTTTTTCAAAAAATATAATTGACTTAAAAATATTACCAAATAAACTAGACAATTTAAAAAATAAAAGAATAAAAGAAGAATTTATAATTTTTTCAATTAAATAGAAAGAATAAAAGGACACAAAAGCTTGTAAATATCTTATAGTGTTTAGCATTTTTTAACAAAAAGAAAAAGGATGGCAAATGACAGACAGCAGTTTTTAGTTTCTAAAGGCTAACAAAAAAAACTCTAAATAACAAAACAAAGAGAGGAAACAAGGGAAATATTTGGAGGGATGTTTGGGCACAGGAAACTTTTGGGCGCGGACCTTGTTGTAAAATACCCCCAATAATAGACACCCCTCTATTTAAGAGAGATCTTTAAAATCTGGTTAACTGCTAAGTTGGAAAGCTGCCTAAGCGATACATTCTATTTAAGATACAATTCATTATAAGGTACGATATCATCACCCCCAAGGGTGTATCTTATAGTGTGTCTGTCTTTAATAAGCTTAGTTATCTTATTTAACTATTTTGAAAGTTCCAGAGTATTTGGAAACAATTTTTTATGGTTTTAAAGATCATTAATGCTGATTTAAAAATTTGATTTCCCTGGTGGACTCGAACTAATGGCCTCAAAAATTCAGTAGAATACTAATTTATAAAATAATTTAAAGTTCTCATTGCCCCTACTGGACAAGGCCATACTAAATTCCACTTAACTAGCTATTACATAGATGTTAGTGGGAAATGGCGAAAGAGCCGGAAATCGGAACTAGTGGAAATCGGAAATTGTATAAATGTCATAATTCGGAACTCGGAAATCATTATAAATTTTTGGAAATCGGAAATTAGAAGAAGAAAATGTCGGAACTCGTAATTCTGCCGAGGCCCTCTACTAGCTATAAATTAAAAAATATTTTCTAAACCCCCTCCCATAAATTACTACAAAAATTTCCACGTCCAAACAGCCCTATATAAATGCCAGAAAAATAAAATGGATGACGAAAAGGAGAAAAAAAATACGAAGCAAAAAAATAAAAAAAACGTTTAAAAGCTTAGACAGCCTTTAGAAGGGAGGCTTTTTTCCTTTTAACATTATTTGAGGAAAATAAAGTAAAAAATGTTTTTTTGATGTGTTTTGGTTAAAAAACTAAAAAAAAGATTAAAAGGATTTGATATAAAATAGTTTTGGTGACGCATTAAATACGCTCTTGGATATGTGACCAAGCATGTGAGAGAAAGGGGGGGGGGAATAGAAAGAAGGGTGGATTGGGGAAAAGATAAGTTTATGGGTGACTAGAAAATTAATTGTGAACAAGAAGGGGGGATTGAGAAAAGAAGGGGGGATTGGGAAAAAGATAAGTTTATGGGTGACTAGAAAATTAATTGTGAACAGGGAGGGGGGTTGATAAAAGAAGGGGGGATTGGGAAAAGAAAGGGGGGGGGGGGTAAAAGAAGAACGGGGGAAATTTAAAAGTAAAGTCTTTATGGATGACTAGAAGATTAATTTTGTGAACATTCCTTTTAATTAAAAAAAAGACAAATCAAAGAACAAATTTTTTTCTATTAATTTTAAAATAGTTTGGTGAACAGCTTAAAATTAAATATTTAAAAAAATGTCTAGCTTAAATAACCTCATTCTTTTCTCTCGTGAATATCTCAAGTTAAAAATAATGACATTTAGGTAGTTGGTGTACCAACTACACTTTACATAATTGGTCATATTTAATTGTTAAAAATTTTTTTAAACATGTACGTCTCATAGTCTAGCAATATTTGGGTGCCTTTTAAAACATAGTAAAGTTAACTCGTATAATAATTTTTTTCAAAAAAATTTTCTTTTAGATTTTCCTTTAAACCTTATAATAAACAGTCAACCCTTCTAATTTATATATCCCTTTAATTTATTATATTTTCTAAAACAGAGCCTCTCTGAAAATAATTTTCATTACCTCTAAATTATGATTGTCTTTGTGGGGCTCTATTTTTTAAATATCAGAGAGATTAACGTCTCCAAGTTTCAAAATTTGGAGACATCTTTAAGGTCTGATTGGACTGGGGTATAGGTGAGCTGTCAAAGCAATACCACCTATTTTATATAAATTTTATAAGCACCAGTATATAAAATAGAGGAACGGTTGGATTTCAATCATCTTCTAAAAAAAGGAGAATTTTTAAACTTTAGTCTTCTAGTTAAAAATAAAAACTACTCTAATATATTTTATAAATTTAAAATTTAAAAAATAAATTTTCACAAATTTCCATTTTTGTCAAAAAATTCCCCAAAGGCAGGCAACGTGTCTACATAGTCCTTTTTTTAACTAAAAAAGTCTAAAATTGATGAAATATTTTTAAAATATTTAAAAACTGATAAACGAGAGAATGATTGACAAAAGTAAGTGAGGGAAGAGAAAATGTAGCAGCTTTAAAAGAACCCTTTGGGAATGGATAAAAGGGGGATGAAAGAACAGAAAAAAATATTTTTTCATATTTTTAAAAATGTATTTCGAAGAAGGAATATTAAAATTTCAACAAAAAAAACTGAAAAAAGTGTTTAAAAATATTAAATAGAGTTTATAAAATATTTATGAGATAATTTGTGGGGAAAAAATTTTTTTGAAACTTCAAAAATAAAAAAAATTTTCCAGGCTTTTAAGCTTGCCATAAATAAAAATTTGAAAAAAAACTGAGGGTTTTTTCGTCATGGTTTCTCCGCCAACAATAAAGTCAAGCAACTGTATTAATTAGAGATCGGCTTGAGGGGTCGGTCGGTATTTTTTCGTAAATATCGATACTGAAAAATACCGAAAAAACCGACCATCCGATCTCTAGTATTAATTAATCAAATCACGAAAGGGGGTTGCCCCGACTCTGCTGCTCTGACTGATAATATTTCTTTTCATTTTATTTTTTATTTAAAAAAATTTTTTAAAGTTTTTATTCAAAATTACGAAAAATAAAAGAAATTATCAAAATGAAGGAAAGAAATAAAAGTAGTATAGAGAAAGGAAATATATTTTAGTACTTGTTCTTTTATCCAATCAACAATTTTTTCATATCTGTCCGCAAGCTTGGTCTCATCAGTCGTATTATTTTGTACATATTCCACCTGCGCAGCTCCCAAAACAACAATCATCATTATGATCGCAGTTTTCTTTATAATTTGAACAAGAAGCGCAATGACTACCTTTACATTTCATACCATAACAACAATTATCAAATTTCGCATTACATCCATTAGTTGAGCAAGGGCTCTGAAGGCATTGATATCTTGGACGCTTACTTCCTCTACCTCCTATGGCAAAAGTACGTGTACAATGTAAATTTGGACAGCAGCTCCTTGAAGTACAACCTTCACCATATTTTGAAATACATTTATTGCCATTCGTAAATTTAAATAAATATAAAGTTGAAAAGACAAAAAGAAGGCAATAAATATTAATTAAAGACATTACTGTGTATATTCGAATATCTCTTGTTTTTAAATTTAAATTAATTTTGAAATTTTAATACAAATTAGGTAATAGGGTTGTACCCCGTTACCAAAAGTTGAGGAATTTTAGTTTCCCCGTGCCCCCCCCCCCCGTTCGAAGAACAACCCTCAGATTAATTCTTAAATTTAGTTAATTAGGTATTTAATCATATGCTCTGAAACAATTTTGAAGGATGCGTGTTGAAAAGTCTGTTAAACGTATCGGATAGGCATCAAAAAGGTGTTACGACAATTGCGGATTAAAAATATTTTTAAAAATTTTTTAAAAAAATGATTGAAATGATATTCCGTTTTTTTTTGTCCCGGCTGTCAGCTTCGGACTTCTGACGGTTTCCGAATCATTTTTAGACAGATTTGCACTTAAAACTTTGTAAAATCTCAAACTTTTTAAAAATTTTCTATCCGCAATTGTCGTACCGCCATCAAAAATAATATTCTCTCGATAACCGAAATTTTCGATCTCGATAGAGATCTCGGTCCGTTATCTTATTCTCAACGACTTATCAAGCTATGAAATTCACCTAGGGCAATCTATATAAATTCTGTGTTATCTACTAGGTAAAATTAGAGGTCCAAGATTGATAAATATACATTTAAAATATTATTAATTAATTAAAATGATTTAATCCCAAACTCAACATAACTGTATTTATGTGGTCTAATATGCACTTTCACTTTAAGAATTTTAAAATACTAAAACTTCAAGCTATCTCCCCTCTTATCTTCAAATCTTATCTAAATAAAATATTTAAACAGCTGGGATATTTTTAAGATAGAGTTTATGTTTTGAGTATTTTACTTATTTTTATTATTCTCTCCCCCCTCCCTTTTACCTTCCCCCCTTACCTTCCCCCTCCCCCCCCCTTACCCGAAGTTTAGCGAAAATTAATTTTTTTTTAGCTAAAATTTAGAAGCTTTGAGATATTTGTTTATTCAGACAAAAATAATTAGAAATCAATTTTGGCTCTTTTTATAAGTATTTTTTTCAATTTTTTTACCCTTCTCTTCCTTTCCATATCCTAAATATACCAAAAAATAAAGATTAAATAATTGCCGAATTTTAAAGGTAAAAATTAAGTTTTGTGTTTTCTATTTTTGGTATTTTTATTTTTTTTTAATTTTAGCTAAAATTTTATTTTTTTTTGCTAAAATTTACTATTTTTGTTTTTTTATATTAAAAACAAAATTTAATTCAGGATATTAGCTTGTTATTATTGTTATTAAGGTGAGGATTTATAGCCAGCCTTGATTTATAGGCAAGTAAAAACTATGGGATACTTTTAAATGCTGCAAATTGACCATTTTATGGTAGGAAAAAAGGGCGGATTCGATTTATCCATATGTATAGGGCCTCACATTTTATCTTTACTTAATTTACAAAATAAACATTATAAAACTTTATCAAGTCAATTCGACTAGTTATTAAGTATTTAAAAAGAGTGGCAATATAATTTTTGGAATAAATCAAGCGGGAGCAGGCCAGTGTACCGCGAGCCCAATGTACCGCCGAGCTATAACTTTGTTCAAAATTGTCGAATCCGTGGCGCCCTGGTATGACTCGATTCAGCTGGTCGAGCCGCATCGACCTATACCAGGGCGCAACGGATTCGACAATTTCGAACAAAGTTATAGCTCGGCGGTACATTGGGCTCGCGGTACATCGGGGTGTACCCAAATCAAGCATGGTCATGGATACGGATACAGATGATATCAAAATGCCTGAGGATATCCGTCGTAAATATCCGGATACGGATACTAAATAAGATCAGTATCCATGACCAGGTCTAGAATAAATTGTATAATAATTTTTTAAAATTTTTCTCTTAGCACCCTCATTTATAATTTTATTTATAATTTGTATTATTATTAAATTTCCTGGCCAAACTCTCAATTAATTTGTGCCCTCCCCTCGTTAAAATTCCTTGAATTCCTTTTTGCATTTGCTCGTCAGAATAGCTAACTAAAGGAGATTCTGGTAATTGTTCACTTCCATCAGGCGCTTTTTTGGCCAATTTGGATTTTATTTTTTCTGACCATTTAGACTCTCCAGCATTTAAATATTCTGAAATTTTTGATAATTTTTTAATTGAGTTATGTAAATCGTGCGTTCAATCAGAATTTATTTTTCATAGGTCCTTGTAGCTTATAGGTCTACTAGACTAATATTGATTCTGGACCAACACAGGTCCATGTATGTCACCAAGTGGTTAGCGATCCAAAAATACAAAAGACTGGCAAGGTTATACGAAATTCTAATCCCAAACAATTTTTCGATCCGGAATCCAATTCTCGATCCAAAGAATTTTTGGAAACCCGGATCCGAAATCCTGCTTAGCTTTTTTCTCTACCCGGCCCGTTCCTGGTACAAACCCGAGGGATTGGGGCAATATTTTATATGGTCCTTATAGCACTAATAAAGCCTGTCAACTCATAAAATTTGATTTTACTTATAATCAAGCTAAATAAGCAACAAACCAATCAAAGGCCCTTCAGGTATAGCTGGCTTCAATTCGTCAACTTTCTTGATTGTTGTTGTTGACCTATCCGAATATTTATTCCCCCATTCTCTTCCTCCTTTTCTATTAAAAAGATGGTTGTTTGGGGAAAGTAACGATTTTGAGGAAGAAAGCAAAACAGGGGAGCCATGTGGAAGTGGGTAATGGTGGGCATTTTTGGCAGAAGCTTGGTGTCTTCCAATAATTGCTTTTTGAAAGTTGGGGTCATGTCGAAGATAACTCAGAAATTCTCGATTTTGAATTAACAAGGCAATTTTTTCGTCATCTGCACAGGGGTCTCTACTTGATGGTTGTCCGTGTTCAGCTCTTAAAAAATTTTTTTTGAAGGAACACACGCGCGAGTTATCATAGAAAGAGTTTAGCAAAAATTTAGACACGAGCAGGATTCGAATCTTCGACCTCCTGACAGTTATTGCTAGGTGCTTCCGCTCACTATATGCACTTCTACCACTAAGCCACCGAGGCATCGACTAATGCTTTCTCTTTTATCCTTTTAGCTCGTTTAACTCCTGCCTAAGCATTTTAAATGCTCTAAGTGAATCATCCTCACATCATTTTAAGGACAATCTCTTAACTCATAGGGTAACAACAAGTGAAATTCGACTACATTTCAAAAATATCAAAACCTGCTTGGCTCATTTTTAATTTCATTGCCCTTTGAGATTTTATCACTACCAGAAGTACTGGCTGTTGTACAACTTAATTCTAACAATTTTTCTATAGTTTCTTCAACATTTCCATCATTTGTTCTCAGAACTGATTCAATCAATTTATTATCCAAGTCTGGAAACATGGCAGAAAATTGTGACATTGCCTCAAATTAGTGGGGGATTATTGAGAGAATTTAGTGTGTTTTTCAGCAATAGGCAAAAAAAATTAATTTTTAACAACCTTTTCAAAATTGAGCACATTATCGCCATCCTTACTCATTTGACTTTAATTGGAATTATGCTGTATAAATTTAGACTGAAAGAAGTGTTTTATTGGGTCTGGGTCCGTTAAAATTTTAATTTTAGTAAAATGGTCAGAGCCCAAAATGGTCAAATTTTTATGTTTCTATGTAGTAATTTTAAGAGATCAGTCACAAGTAAAAGGGACGAAAGAATAGTAAGAATCAATAAAAGGTAGAAAATACGCAACCTTATGTCATTCTAGTTAAAAATATTAAATAGTACTTGCTGTGATGCATGCATTTATAGCAGCCACTTAACGATCTTTTTTGTGTAATTATTTCACAAGTAATACATATTTAATTCTCTTAATAAAATTTTAAAAAAATACTTAAATATATTTTAAAAATGGTTATAGTAAAATAAAAATTTATTTAAAAAATTTAAATAAAAATCTGCTATATAACAATTAAAAGGAAACTACTTAAAAATCATTAAATGGTCATCAAATTTTGATCTAAAAGTTTACAACTAACATTAACAATAAATTATAGTCAAACTTCAATATAAAGGTATTACCCAAAATTAGATAAACCCCTAATCAAGATACAATTTTTTAATTTAATAATCGACTACTAGGTTGATGAGCTCCTTCAATCAAGCAATACCACTAATTTGAAGTCCCCTCCTATGTATTTAAGGTAACTCCCAATTTAGTAGGTGATACCCAAATTACCCCTCATTATAAGCTACAATTTTCAAAACTTAAAGAGGAGAATTTAAAAATAAAGTTTGACTGTTAAAAACAACAAAAACTCTTTCCACTAGACTTGGTAATGGACATTGATTTTGGTATCCGTATCCGGATATTTACGGTGGATAAGACGGATATCCGCAGGCATTTTGAACTTATCTCGAACTTATCTGTATTTTACCAAGCCTGATTTATTTTAACAACGAGAGTTTCTCTCAACAAAATAATTGTCTAATAAATCCAAATTATTAGTTAATTTAATAGCTAATTCCTCTCCTTCCTCCTCTTCCTCTTCTTCTTCAACTTCATTATTATTTTTAATTAAATATACTTCCAATTCTTTATTTAATTTAATCAATTCTTCCTTCGATTCAATTAAAATTTTAAATTGTTCAAGCAAAGCAAATCCTTTTAAAGAAATACTTAATAAAGGTAATGGACGTTTAAATGAATTTGTCAACAAAGAAATACGTAAATAACCACACAAAATAATTTGACGAATTATTTTTTCATAATTAATCTGAAAAAATTTTTTTAATATTTGTACAAGGGATCTAACTGACAAAGATGGTGGAAAAAATTACCCAAATCCCTTATTTTTCTGAAAAAATTTTGGGAACAGGAATTTCATAGAAATAAATTCCAACTCAAGATCCCGATATAAAAAAACGTCAGGAATTCTCTATCTTCGGAAATCTGGTCAGCTAAATCCTTGGTACGTACACCCCCCCCCCCCCCAGTTTTATGAACACCTCCATTCCATCCCCAAGGATATAGCGACCTGATTCCCGAAAATCAGCAATTTATTTCTTGAAATTCCCGTTCCCAAAATTTTTCTGAAAAATTATTTTCATTTTTGTTATAGTCATCAGAATATTTCACCTAATCAAACTCAAAAAAAACAATACCAAGAAGGAGTAAGGGAAAATATAAAAATAAATTTTCTTTTTAAAAGTAAAAATAAATCCCCTTTATAAAATAATGAATTCTCCTCAAACCTCACTACAATAATTTTGTTGTTCAAAAAATTGAAATAAATTTTTCAGCTTAACATTTCCAATTTGATCAATTTTCTCCAATATAATACAGACAATATTAATTTCTTTTTCATTAAAAGGTTCAATTAAATTTTTAATTTTTGCAAAACGATTTGGAGGTAAAATTGAAGAAGATTCTTCTTTATTTTTGTTGTAGTCATCACAATATTTTTCACAATAATTTAATACTTTTAGAAGATTGTTTAATTTTATTTGTTTGAAAGACGTTGATTCAAATCCTTCTAAAATTTTTTAATTTTATAATAGATTCAATACAGTCAAAGCCTTCCTTAGTGAATAAGTTAAATAAATTCAATACAGTCAAATTTTTAAGGTACGTAGTCAAGATAGGTATGTGACGTTCCTTAAGCTTCTCTGTCCCCCTCCCCCATAGAGCTGCCTCGTCGAAAATTTTCAGTTAGGAATTTTTCAAATGGGTCTGGCACACACATTTTTCAAAATGCCCCCACCCCCTTCCGAAAATTCTTCCGAGCTATGTGGCTCGGATCAGAACTCATAAGTATAAAATACTGCATACACAAAATAGCCCTAATTCTAAATTTTAAGAAGAGGGAAGGAGTTGCTAGGGGAAGGAGTTGCAAAGCGCTACCTCCTATTTAAGACATACCTTATTCATTAGGGAAGCTTGAAGTTCGATTGAATTTAGAAAAATTTATTTTAAAAACCTTTTATTTCTCGTAAAATTCTAAATTGATCATTAAAATCGTATAGAAGAATACATTCGGAAGGTTCTCCATCTCTTCCAGCACGACCACTCTCTTGAGTAAATTCCATCAAAGAACGAGGGATTGAGTAATGAACAACAAAACGAACATTTTCTTTGTCAATACCCATTCCGAAAGCTTAATGGAAAATTTGTAATTAATTGTGTGTGATGTTAAAAATTTATTGAATAGAAGGTGGATAAGACACGGGTCTTTGAAATAGAAGTATTCAAAGTATTCCATCATGCCCATTAAAGTATTTCCCCGTCCCCGAAAGTAGGTGAATCTGAGATTTTTTAAAAATTCCTTGTCACATCTCCCGTGCGCTATCTGCCTATAAATTTTCCCAAAGGCCCTCACTCATCCTCTCGACAAGGAATAACCCTGACTGGACATATTGCAAAATAAAATTCTGAAGAAAGGACCCATGCTTTTGTAACCCCAAAAATTAAAAAGCAAAGCAAAACCCGTTTTTTAAAAATCCTCAAAAAAATCCTAAAAATACCAGTAAATCAAAAGAAAAAACCTGTAGTAGCACAAAGAAGTCTTATTTTCCCATTCATCCATTTATCCTGATTTATTTGCCTTCTTTTTTCTGACATTTTGGCATAATAGGGGCGAGCCAAATCTCCAAATAATTTTGCCAATTTGACACATTCTAACCTTAAAATTAATTTTAAAAAAATTTTTTGGCTTAAAAAACCTTGTCAAACAATAAATTATTCCAACGCCAGAAGGATACTTTTCAAAAAAATAATTAATTAATTCTTCCACATTTACTTTTCTTTTGTCTAAAACTTGATATTGAAGATTTTTACGTTGTTTTATGCTTTTGAATCTGTAAAAAAGTAAAATTAAACAGATAACTTTTCAAATAATTAAAATTCATCAGTTAGGCATTTCTACGTTTACGAGCTGTGATTTGAGCATACCTATTTTTCCGTGGATCAAAGCACGGATTTCCAGGCTAAAATAAAACCTGAGAACCCGGAACATTGATTCTTTTAAAAATAACAGAGTCCCGAAACCCCACTGACCTAAACCATACAAGGAGAGGTTGCGAGGTGTCCGACCTAAAAACGGTCGAGACTGGGCTCGTTCGATAGAGAATGTGCCAGATCCTGGCCAGATCAAAAAACGGGCAAAAACGGCTCAAAAAAGCTAGAAAGGGCACATTCTCTACGAATGAACCCGGTCTCGACCGTTTTTAGGTCGAACAACTCGCAACCTCGCTTGTTGGTAAAATGACCCGAACTCTTGTAGAAACTCCCAATAAACCAAAAAAACTCACAAAAGTTGTCGACTACACTCCTTGTCCATTCCAAGAATTTTATTTATTTTCTCCCGTTCATCTCTAGAATCACAAGCAGTTAGGGCCATAATTGGTATTTTTGTGGAGTTTGAACGTTCTTGAGTTTGTCTGAACCTTTTTATTAATTCAGCCAATTTAAGGTAATCTGGACGAAAAGAATTGCCCCAAGAGTGAACACAATGGGCCTAAAACGGGGAAATCATTAAGAAAAATGTAAAAATTTTGGAAGCAAAAAATTTCTTAAATTTCTTGGCTATTTTCTGTTTTATTGGTCCCTAGAAAAAAATAAGCAAAAAATACTCTTTGATATTCGTGAGGTTATGTTCTCCAAAAGGTAATCAAGTGCCGGGTCAGAAAATGAGTTCAATTTCATTTATTTAGAATCCAGGAAATTATTTCAGAATCGAAACAGTCCAGAAAAAGTTTAAAAATCCAGTCAAAAAACAGTCCAATTCAAAATCGAACCAGTCCTGGTCAAATCTCGAATTCGACCTGGACGAGTTCGGTCTAGAAATTAAAATTCTAGGATGGCAGACTATTCGAAATGAATGATTTTTCTTACTTATTTTTTTCGTAGTGACCAATAAAGCAGAAGGTAACCAATTTCCTTAAAAAAATAAAAGAAAAACCTCATCAAAAACAAATCTGGCTAACAAGTTTCTTTTATCCAAGTTATAAAGTAACGGCATAAACAAGCTATTCTTTACTGCCTAAAATTTAAAAAATTTATTTAAAAATAAAATTAGATAAAAAACCTTTTCTGGAGTAACAAAAAGTAAATTAAAATCAGGTTGAGAATTTGTTCGTAAAATTTTATTAATCTCGTCTACATCAAAGCCAATGCAGCGAATGTTGTACTAAAATTGTTAAAAAATAAATTTTTTTGGTAAAATTAATTTTTTTTTATTTAGAAAATTTTGAGCAAAGAGAACCATGAAATAAGTCTAAAAATTCTTCTGAAAACAATATTCCACCTAACTTTCCGAAATGGGGGGTAGGATAGAAAAAGAAAAAAAAACTCGCAATAGGAAATCGTCCCTGCTCTACACAACTGTATGAAAATAATTATGGAATTTTTGGTCAGTTCGATATAGGTCCTTCTAAAATACTTAAAAACAGACATCTGAATGGCCAGCAAATGACCAAAACTTATATGAATGAGTTTATAATTAAAAGGCTTTGCGGGCGCTGTGGCTTAGTTAGTAGTAATGTTACCACAGAAATAAAGGGAGGGTGGGTTCGGCCCTGCTATAGTTTTTTTAATTTTTTAAAGTTTTAAATTCTTTCTAGAGATTTTTTAAATTTTTAACTGTAAAAATAACAAGAAAATAAATTTTCAAAAATTTTAAACGAAAATTTTTTTGTTTTAGAGATCAAGCTGGACCTGAACCAAAGCCTGGGTTTTTCCTGTACCCTTTTGACTTTCCTGAGGTTTTGTTGGGCCTGGTTTTTCCTGGACTACAGTCCCAGGATCCGGCCCAGGTCAATAAATCAAACCCAGAGTCCAGGAGAAGGTCCAGGCTTTTCAAAAATCTCGATCTCTAGTATTCGCTTCACCTAACAACAAATAAATCTTAATCTAAAATTCTATTGAAAGACGTTACTTATCATTTTTTAAAGGTGCTATAATTTTTAAATTTTTCAGAAAAATAAACGACCAATCAAAAAAATTTTCCTTAAAATGTTCACTCACATCAACTCCTTGCAATTTCACCATTTGATCTCTAATTAAAGACAATAAAGGAGAAAAAACAATAGTAACACCTCCATCCAATAAAGAAGTAAGTTGATAACACAGACTCTTCCCACTGCCTAAAAAACATAAAAATCATAAAAAAAATATTTAAAAAAAAAACCTGTAGGCATTTGAATAAAAGTATCATATCCTTGTAATGCTGTAATTATCGCAGATTTCTGTTTTTCTTTAATTTTGTATTTTTGAGGAAAATTTTCTTTTACTGCTTTATGGATCATTGTGTTGAGCACTTCTTTGGACAAATTCCCAAATCTTTGAAGCATTTCCCTTAAAAGGAATTTAAATGCTACGAGGAGTTAGAAAATATTTTTTTAGAAGCTTAAATAAAAAAGAAACAAGTTAACGAACATATTCCGCAATCATGAATAGAGATCGGCGCGGGGTCCCGACGGGATTTTACGGGATCTCGTCCCGGAATACCGAGTTTTTAGCGACAAACGGGATTACCGGGATTTACGGAATTAATCCCGCAGGATCCCGCCCCGTTCAAAATTTTTAAACTCAATCCCGCACGCGGGATCGCGGAAGTGCGATTTTGCCGGTCTCTAATCCTGAATCATATTCCGTTTTAAATCTACTAAATATTTTATAAATTTGGCATAATGTTTTTTGAAAATAAAAATGACAATTTATCCCCGAAAAAAATTCTAAGGAAATTTCCTAAAAAGTTAGGCCGTTTTAGGCTAAAAAAGCTTGTAAAAATTTATAACAAACTAAAAAGTAAATGAATTGCCCAAAATAGTTGAAAAATCTATTTAATAATAAACTTGTTCTTTAAAGCTTTTAGGGTCCAAATGTCTGATCCTGGCCATTTTTCTGAAGACGACTTTGTTTTGAATTATGACCCGGTTGATGAGAATGAATTTAATTTGCCGGAGGTTTTAATTATTCTTTAAATTAATTTAATAATTTTTAGATGCCTCCTTCCGGAAAACGTAAAAAGAAGAAAGTCAAGAAGAAAACAAAATCTTCAAAAAAGTCTGGGAAAAAGAAGTCTTTAAAGAAGAAAGTAACTAAAGGAAAGTCTACAATAAAGAAATGTGTGAAAAAGTTAAAAAATAGGAAATCTACAAGAAAATCGGTTAAAATAAGAAAAGTGAAGAGTAAAAAGAGGAAAAGAGGAGTTGTTAAGAGGCCAACAGTTTCAGGCAGAGAGAGCAAGAAATTAAAGGTTATTTATAAATAAATAAATATAGGACTGAGTGAAATTATTATTGAATCCGGGCCTTGACAATTTTTGAATCCACTAACATAAATTCGGATGAGAAAAAGAAAATCCCTGGAAACTCAAAAATGAGCTTGAACAATTTTTGAATTCACCAAATCGTGACTGAGGTTCAGGAAAACCCTTTAAAAATGTTTATAAATTTCCAGGCTCTGGTTTAAAGACCCAGAATTGAAAGACTGAAATTATTAATGGATCCGGTCCTGGACAATTTTCGAATCCACCAAATTCGGCATGAGAGAAGGGAAATTCCTGGAAACTCAAAATGGGCTTGAACAATTTTTGAATTCACTAAATTGTGACTGAAGTTCAGAAAACCCATCTGGAAACGTTTAAACTGTCCAGGCTCTGGTTAGAGAAAAACCTCAGACCTTGCACAGCCCAACTCGGTCTCTACAAAATTACCCTTAAATTTTCCTCCCAAGAAATTAAAAAATTTTTTTTAGAATTTTGCTCTGCCTGTAAGTAATTCTCCAAAAATTCCACTTCGTCTTGGCGAGAAGATCAGAGGCTTGGACCTTTTAGAGTTTGTTGCTTCTTTTTATTAAATATTTTCTAATTTATTTTTAAAGGTTTTCTGATGAATTACCAACCAAACATGTTGAGGAACACAAAGAAAAGGTACCAGAAAAGCCTTCAACTTCAGTTGATTTGGATATTATAATGCGTGGTCAGGAAGATTTATTCATCTGCAAGGACCAGAAGAGGACTGGCAAAGTTTGAAATTTTGAAAAAAATGTGGGGGGAAACTTATTAGGAATCGGAGATGACCGAAGAAAGAAATATTTTCGTTTTTTTCTTGCCATTTCTGGAAGGAAATTTCAGCTACTTATCACCGGAAATTAATGCTCGACTACATACATTACATATTGTTTCAAAACTTCGGCCAACTCTGATTCCTTTCTAAAAGTGCCGGAAATTTAAATGCGCGTTTTTCTTTCGATTTTTTGAATTTCTTTTTAATTTTTTATTTCCTTTCGCATTTCATCATTTTTTCTGCAATTCCTTGTCAATCTCCTTTTAAAAATCTCAATTATTTTCAGATTTTCAAACTTAAAAAAAAAGATTAAATTTAATTTATTAACGTCCAAAAATGTCTACAACAATTAAGGATAACAACAACGATACCCATAATGTCACCCCAGACGATCCCAAAATTTTGCCCAATAATTTTCTGCCTTCAGCAGAAAATTTAGCGGCAGCATTTTTGAATTTCCCTCCGCCTCCTCTTCCATCTGACAGAACTTCTAATAATCAACTTGTTAATTTTCCGTTGCCGCCACCTGGATTTGTTAGTGGGATCAATGCTAGGCCGCCTACGGGTATTTTTTTTAATTTTTGAAAGAATTTCAAAATGTCAAAAAGACAAAATGCCTATTAGACAAAATGCCGATACGACAAAATGCCACGGCCTCAAAATGTCCAAAATTTAATTCTCTCTTTCCAGGTTTTATGCCGTTTCTCCCAGTATTCGCTCCTCCTTTCATTAATTCAGCTTTAAACGATGCTACAGCAGCACTTTATCGTCCACAAAATCCTCATCAAAACCGACAGCATTTATTAAATCAACGAGGAATAATGAATAGTTTTTTAAATAGGGGAAATTTAGCTGATTTACACCAACAAAACCAGAATTTTTTACAACAGAATTTACTTCAGAATTTAAACCAAAATAATTTTGAGCATCAGAATTTGCTTCAAACCCAGAATTCTATTTTGTCTGCTACCCATAATCCTCGTGAAATTTTGCAACTACAAGCTAGTGACATTCAACAACAAAGCTTACTTCCCTCATCTTCTCTTCAACAACAAAAAAATAATTCTGAACAATCCCAACAACAACAAGAGATAATCATTGATGATTCAGACAATTCTTCTTTAGACCCAAATTCTCCTTTACCCGTTCCTTTACCAACATTACCCCCTCCAACAATTCCTCCTCCCCCACCACCGCCTCCCCCTCCGCCGCCGCTACCTAATCCGTTAAATATTGAAGGGCAACGACATCAAGAACATGTTAATAATGATGCTGATTTGTTGATACCGCCTCCTCCTCCGCCGCTTAACGTAAAATTTTTTTAATTTTTTGGGAAGGTGTTTGGGGTATTAAATTGTACCGGAAGGAGTTAATGAGGCTTCTTCTTATTGTTAGTCTAGTTGATAATAAAACATATGAAAAATGGCCAGTTTGAGGTTGAAATATCTGTTTAGATAACAATAGAAAGCTTTCGAAGCTAGGAATAAGACTCACAATATAAAAATGCAGTAGAGGGTTACAACAGGGATGTGAACTTTAAACGATGCCTCCTCCAACAATTCCTCCCCCATAATAAAATAAATGAAAATATCCAGTTTGAGGTAGCTGTTTCCTTGGGAAGAGAACCTTGCTGCATTTTTAAAGGCGGAAGAAAAATAAAAAGATCGAACCTGAAGAGCCTAAGAGGACGGAAGTAGACGAAAAACGGAAGCGGAAGAGATCCCCTCCCTTATCAACGCTATTAAGTAAAAAAATCTGGTCGACCCACCATATAATATTTACGTGTACTTTTTGTCAGTGTCTATCTCCGATCCAATCTTTTTTTGTTGTTCCCTCGGGAAGAGTTAAGCCTCTTTACTCAACTAATTTTTTTTAATCCAAAAATTAATTTTTTTAACAGTCAAGCAGTCATTTTGGAGCAGATTCACCTATGGATATTGAAGATGAAACATTAAATGAGAGACAATCAACTTCTGGGGGTGTTACTTTCAATAATATTTCACCAGAAAAGAAGAAAAACAATACTTCAACAACACCAACAAAAAAGCGCAGCAAAAGTGTTCAGGCTGCGGATGCTTTAATGAAGCAATCTTTGAAGCCTTATTTCGCGTTAGTTTTTAAGAGATAGGAAAAAATTTTTTTGGAAAAATGGTCGGAGTTGAGAGCACCTCCTTTTTTCATACTTAGTACCGCGGGCAAAAATTTTGAGAATTTTGGAGTCCAAATAACCATACATATTTCCTCCAAGGAAGGGTCGGGTTATACGATACCCGGTATTTTTTCAATCCGAGCCCTGACTTGTGAAATTCTCCAACATAAAGGGATAACCTTCCTAAAAATATTAACAAAAAAAATTTTTTTAAAGCATTTTCTTTTTTAAGAAAAAGAAAAATTACCAAAGACGAATATAAAGAAATTATGAAGAGAGGAGTTGCTAAACTAAGCAAACGTGAATCTTTGAAACCTGAAAAAGTTGAAAAGTTTGTACAAAAATTTGTTCATTCGATGAGAAAGCAGAGAAAGAATAACAACAACAATATTTTTGCTTTATAAAAGGAAAATTTTTTAGGGTGTTACTAAGCTAGTGGTTTGAGAAAAATTCAAGGATAGGGTTGTCGGTGAACTGAAGATTTTTCGGTTCCAAATATTCAAAAAATTTTCCAAGAACCGACAACCCTTTTAATATATTTTTGACAATATTTCTGGTCAGTTTTCTTATTTTTCTAATTTTTTTATTCAACATTTAAAATTCTCTAAAGCTATTTTCATAATATTGTGAACACAATTTTCCTATTTTACTCAATTAAATTTAGAAAAAAATATTTTTTCCACGAGACTTGCTAATGGACATGGATTTTGGTATCCATATCTGGATATTTAAGGCGGATACAGACGGATATCCGCAAGCATTTTGAACTTACCGTAAATCCTCTAAAATAGCCTCGGGGGTTATTTTTTCGATCGACCTCCAGAGGGGGGTTATTTTAGAGGGGGAAGGGTTATTTTAGAGGGGGAAGGGTTATTTTAGAGGATTTACGGTATCTGTATCCATTACTAAGCCTGCTTTCCACACTTCTCTTTTCTTATAATTCTCTTTTTTTATTTAAAATTTATTTTAAGTAATTTTCATATGTAAATAGTAATATTCTTTGTATTATTGTACTAATTAAAATAGTCTAAAATAAAATTGTAAAGTTGCGAAATATTTATGAATGCAGACAAAATAAATTTTTAAAACTGGGAGAGTATAAGTAGACGAAACTAAAATTTGATTTCCTGAGGGTTCTGAATAGCAAAAAAATCTAAAAAATATGATATCAAAAACTGAGGAAAAATATAGAGTAGAGAGAGAATAAATTTGAAAATTCTAAACATAGTTTTGAGGAAATGGATGACTTTTAAGTGATTTTTAATAGGTAGTCTAATTCAGGGCTTCGATTTCTGCGGATTTTTCCTCATTTTGTGGTTTTTTGATAGGGCGATGAGGATTATTTTTAAAAATGCGGATTTGCGGATTTTTGTGGTCTTTTGAAGATTATGAGGATTTTTTGTATTTTTTTGTAGTTTTTAGGATAAAATGTCATTTTTTGTCTTCATGGCCTTACAAAATTCTCAAAATTTTTGCCTGCGGCGCTGAAAAGGACGATTTTTGGCTTCTTGGCCTTACAAAATTCTCAAAATTTTTGCCTGCGGCGCTGAAAAGGACGATTTTTGGCTTCTTGGTCTTCCAAAATTCCCAGAATTTTCGCCTGCGGCGCAAAAAAATATTTTCGAGTAAACAATTCACTACAACCAGGGACGGTGAAAGCATTGACTCAAATCAACAGTAATTTTTTATTTATTGTTCGAATTTTAATAAGATAGTCATTAGTAGTGAAAAAATTGCTCAATTCAAATGTTGGAGTCAAAAAATATAACGCATAAAGTGATTTTAATTCATTTTTTTTGCTTGATAATTTTTTGCGGATTTTTCATATCAAATGCGGATTTTTTCGAATAAAATTGCGGATTTTTAAAATTTCGAGGTCGAAGCCCTGGTCTAATTCGATTAAGCACAAAGTGTTGATTTTGGCTTACTGGAAGGGGAAAGAGAGCTGTCTAAAACTAGATTTGGACTCGAAAATATTAAGAGGTTTCCTCGTCTTGAGGTAACGTCTTATCCTTAGTCCTAGATTAACAAACGAGAGGCTGTGGGGGTGTTCGTGGGACTTCGAGATGAAATTTGGTAGACAGATAGTTCTATTAGCTCTATAATTAATTTTATAAATTTTGGTCCTGGTTTTCGAATAATTTTTGGTCATAGACAGCTCTAATAATTCTACCTCTTAAATTTATTTATGTAGCAGCAATAAAGAATTTTTAAATCAAAAATTAGACCAAAAAATTGAATTTAAATTGAAGTTTCTTTGCTTAAAGTTGGCTTTAATTTGCTGCTATTTCTAACGAAAAATATACTTTAAGGAGTTTTGGGCTTATGATAAAAAAATATAAAATTTTTTTCGTTTCTAACTTTCATTAATTTGATTTTCCTCCACAACACTAATTAATATTTGGTGCAATTTTTGTGCACTCTCCAAAAGCTCGTTACTATCATTATCTTCTCCTTTTATCGATGCTAATGAAACAATACGTTCAGAGAGAGACTGTAACTGAACAATGTTGTCTTGAAGTTTTGTTAGCGACTGAAGAGGAGGAAGTGGGTCTTTTGTTTCAAATCTTGTTTTAATTACCTGAAATTAAGTAAACAAGTTAGTAAAAATGAACATTTCGTCCAATTAAGTAAAAATGGACATTTCGTCCATTTAAGTAAAAATGGACATTTCGTCCATTTAAGTAAAATGGACATTTCGTCCAAGTAAGTAAAAATGGACATTTTGTCCAATTTTCAATTGGTCCATATTCCAAAATGCCCAATTTCAAAATGCCCATATTTGCCCCAGCCTAGATTTTTCAGGATATTTTTATAAAAGCACCTGCCTGACAGGAAGAGCACATCCATGTTGATGGACCATCCTCCTTATTTGCTTCAAAATCCATATGTTGTTGTTGATGTTCATCGTTGTTGTTGCCATTGCTTCCCCCACTGCTTGTTTGTGAATCGGAAACTGCAGGCGAAGGTTGGCTGGTTACCGAGCCATTATTGTTATTCTACAAAAATTGAATTTTAGAGGGAAAAAAAGTTTTTTCTCAACACCTCATTAGAAGCAGAAGCAACATTTCCAAGCTTCTTTTCATTAATCAAAGCTGCAGCAACTTCTGCAGCACGTGCAGGAGTACGCATTTTTCGTTTATTTCGTCTTTCAGAAGCTGAAGAAGACTCTCCTCCATTATTCCCATCATAATCATCACCAGGACTGTGTTCTTGTTTAATATTGTTGTTGTTGTTGTTTCCCCCTTTTATTGCTAACAGATTGGTAATTAAAGAATTGAGTTTGCCCATTGAAGGGGAGAGACTTTCACAACGATTTGGGGGGACTTCCTGATTTGCTTCTTGATTTGCTTCATTATTAGCTGACGTCTTCTTAGTCTTTACCCCTCTATCACTCTGTCCTTTCTGCAATATTTGCAAACTTAAATCCATTGTAGGCATTGTTGTTGTTGTAGCAGAATTTTTATTTTTAATTATAGCATTGTTTAAAGACGACTTTCTCTTCTCTCCTCGTCTTTTCTTTAAGGGAGGTTGAAGCTTTTGTTTTTTGTGTTTAATATTTTCCGTTAATAAAGGTTGTTTTGAAATTGAAGACGAAGAACAATTCGTTACCGAAGCAGAATTCGATATCGAAGCAGAATTCGATGTTGAAGCAACCGCTGAAGCAGCTGAAGCAACTGCTGCATAGAGTGATTGAAGCACATTAGTGTTAGCAAATTGTGGGGAAATATTTGCAGCAATAGGTAAATGATTTGGAGGAGGATGGGGAAAATGATTATTTGGATGTTGCAACATTATATTTTTAAAATCATTATTTGATGAAACAGAAGCGGAAGATGATGGTGATGGTGAAGCAGCGGCAGCTAGAAGATAGGGGTTGTTAGCAATTAAATGAAGCAACTGATGTTGTTGAGGTGTCTGGTGGGAATTCTGATGTTGCTGAAAATAATTCTGATTTATATTTAAAATTCTGATTTTGTTAATTCTGGTTTTTTTGATCTCGATTTAATTAAAAATTCTGAAACAAGATGCTTGTTATTTTTCAGAATTCTGATTTTAGCTAAAATTCTGATTTTGGTTAAGATTCTGATTTTGGTTAAGATTCTGATTTTAATAAAAATTCTGATTTTAATAAAAATTCTGGTTTTAATAAAAATTCTGATTTTAATAAAAATTCTGGTTTTAATAAAAATTCTGATTTTAGTTAAAATTCTTATTTAAATAGAAATTCTGGTTTTGGTTAAAATTCTGATTTTAGCTAAAATTATGATTTTATTAGAATTCTGATTCACCGCAAATGTTGCTAGCAATGTTTGTGCAGCAGTAGGCGGTGTATTATTCTGAAGCAAACTGTGTTGCTGCAATTGTTTCTCTTCATTATTAATAAATCCTCCAAGTTTTGACAGAAGCATTTCTGCAGCACTAAAATTAGGGGGTCCAAAATTATTTTGTCGTTGTTGTTGTTGATTTTGGGGAGGAGGGAAAATTCCTGTTGTTTGAATATTTGAATGAAGATTGTTATTTTGTTGTGGTAAAGGAGAAGGCAACAAAAAATCTTTTTTATTTTCATCAAAACCAAAATTATTAATTAATTGATGTTGAGATGTTCGTTGTGTTTGCTCTCTAATATTATTTTCTTCTAATTTTTGAAGGTGTTGTTGTTCTTCTAATTCACTTATTTCTCCCTAAAATTTAAATTTTTTTCAAGGAAAAAATTTTCTTATTTCCTCTACCGTCTCTTCAGGAAAAATTTGATGGTCATCTTCTGGACAAGAATTTGTTGTGGAACCATCACTGTCTGGAAAGGCCAATTTAACTTGAAAATAAAATATATTTAAAGGACAATTTAATAATGTCTACCATCAGGATCTAGCGAACTTCTCGCAAGTACAGAAACATCACCCGGCTTACCACTTTTTTGCATACTTTGCATGTGAATGTGAAGACTAGTCTATTAAAAAGTGAAAAATTAATAAAATTCTGATTTTATTTACTTTATTAAAACAAAAACACAAAAACCAGAAAATAAAAATAAAACAGAAAACACAGAAACCAGAATTTGGAATAAAAACAGGAAAATACAAAAACCAGAAAGTCATAAAAACAGAAACAAAGCAGAAAACACAAAAACACAGAAAAACAAAAACCAGAAATTCAATATAAAAACAATAAAACATAGAAACCAGAAAATTAAAACTAATAAAACACAAAAATCAGAACAGAAACAAAACAGAAAACACAGAAACACAAAAATCAGAATAAGAGAAAATACAGAAAACACAAAATCAGAATAAGAAAATACAGAAAAATACAAAAAAATACATAGGTAATAACAGAAAATCAGAATAAAAACACAACATTATAATTAATCTACCTTATCAGGAAATGCCCAATTACAACACCTACACATAAACATTCTGTGTATTTGATGACACCGATACATGTGTGAACGGAGATTTTCGCTGTCTTTAAAAATAATTTTTCAAATTTTAATTTAATTTAATTTTCTCACTATGAATATCTTGATTACATTGAGTACAAGTATAACTTTTGTAATGTGCCTGCATTCTAAATTTTAAATTAAATGAGGAGGATTAAATTATTCCTCTCACCTATGTCTGCTTAAGGAGGATGAATGGCAAAATATTTTGTTGCAGACAGAACATGGAAATTGCCCTGTAAATTTTCAAAAAATTACAGTCGACTATCGATAGAATTAATTTTGAATTGACAAACATCTCGAAATAACGAAACTTTATCTTTTTGAGTTTGCTATATCGAGAACCAATCGTATATAGGTACTATCAGATTTAAAAAAATATTGTTTAGATTTAGTAACCAAGAATCAAAGCGTCTCGGATTTTTCTTAGGCCCAAATCCGGGTCTCCTTTTCGCAATCTCCTGATTATTTTAGGACTGAATTAATTCAGAAATACAGGAAAACCGGCAGTTTTAATTCCAAATCCAAAACCGAAAAAATCCAAATGGATCACTAACTTTAAAATTATGATATTTTTGATATTCTTGAAATTTTAATAATTTTCTTGTGTTTAAATTAATAATAGATCAAGATTTATTTGTCCAAATTAATTGGTCGTAAATCAGTATAGATTAAAAAAAATTTTCTCACCCTTTAAGTCAGGCCTCTTCAAATCACTAAAAAATAATTAAAATAAAATTAAAATAAAATTAAAATAAAATTAAAATAATTAAAATAATTAAAATAAAATAAAAATCACTAAAAAATAATTTAACTATTTAAATTAAAAAATATTTTTATTACGTTCTATAAGGCATTTTAAGCGATGAAGGTTCAGACAGGGGAGGGGACGAAGGAAGAAGCTGCTTAACTTTATGGGTCGTCGTTTTTGCGTTGTTTGGAATTTTTTGAAGGAAATTTTCTTAATTTTCTAATTATTTTCTATTGTAGTTTATTTCCACAAAAATTATTTTAATTCAATTTTTAAGCAAAAAAGCCTTTTGATTTTTTAAAATTTATCAACTAAAAATGAAATTTATTAAATTTAAAAAGAATTCTGGCAGAAATGAAGATAAAATACAGTCAGACATCCTTTAAAGACACACTCTTGATGCTGAAATTTTTTAAATACATAGATCTTTAATATAGAGGGTGCCGTTTATGCAGCTCCCAAAACCAAAAATTAACCAAATATTAAAGCAAGTATTCATTAGTTAAGACGTACCCAGTAGTGGGATGATACTATAGCAGATCTGTGCATGGATACGGATATTGATACAGATAATATGTATTAGATACTTCCTGATATCCGCCTGTATCCGCCGTATATATCCGGATATGGATACCATAATCCGTGTCCATGCACAGGTCTGTATTATAGTAAGGTCCGAGTGGTAGTGAGGTCTGAGTGGTTAATAGTGAGGTCCGAGTTATACCCAAAAAATTTTTAAAAGTTGGTTAGTATCTGAGTGGGGAGCTATTCTTAATCATGCCCTCTATTTAATACACCTCATTATAAGGTATACAATTTTCCATTTCACAATTCCAAGGGGGTACCCTACACTGAGGCCAGACTGTTTTGATAAATGAGCTATCAAATTAATTAATTTAAAAAACAGAAGCGCTTATCATTTAATAAAATAAAAAATACAAAAAAAGAGAAGCACAATCTTTGCTTACCAAAAAGCCCTGTCTCTCCCCGTTTACTTTTTTTGCTTAAACTAAAATATAAATAGAAAAAGTATATATATTTAGGGGGCCATTTACTTTCTTTTCTCCCAAAACTCTAGATAAGGATGTAAAAAATGAAAGAAAAAAGATCCACTAAAAATCAATGGCCCGTGTGTTGGAGGAAGGTTTTTTTAGTATGGAGGGGATGTGAAAAAAGGAACAGTAGCAGATAAACAAGGACACGAACTGCAACAGAGCATTCAGTCCTAGTATCACACAACGGAATCAACAAGGGGAAGGGGGGAGGCTTTTAATAGGAGGGGGAAATAATGAGGGGAGAGGAGTAAATGAAGGACAAAATGAAGTGAAGACTGAAAAAAGTTTTTGTGACAAAAAAAGGAAAAGCGAATAAATATATGAAGTGAAATGAGCGGAATGGACGCTTTTCATTGTTTTAGCAGTCCTGTGGCCATTTGGAGGAAATGTGAGGAGAAATGGAATCTGAGAGGTGAAGGGGGTTGTTAATTTGGACATCTCTTTTGGCTTGGTCATGTTGGCACTTGGAAAGATGGAAAACTTCAATCAGGGAAAGTCAAGATCGGTAAATGATGGAATCAAGGTGGGCAAATGGAAGAAAGGGCAAGTCTACGGATCTTGAAGGATCAGTGTAATCTAAGGATCAATCCAGGGATCCTTCCAGGGATCCTTGTAGTCGAGGTTCTTTAGTCTCGTGAACGTCTTCTATTTTTAATTTTAAAAAGTAATTTAAAAACTATTGAGTTGCGCCAAAAATTTTTTCAGGAAAAAAAGAAAAATGATAGCAGAGAGAAATCAAAGAAGGGCAAAAATGAGCAGTACAATGACCAGGCATCCAAAATGCTTTATATATTTATTTATATTTATTTGATAGTAAAAGCTAGGAGAAGAAGCGTTGGGGGAAATGAAGAAATAAATATAAATTTTTTGGCCGTTGTTTGACAATAAATGGGAGCAGGAAAAAATTAAAAAAAGGGAAAATGAGACAAAGCGCCATTGAAAAGAAAAATGTTGTGTGATTTTGAAAGAATTTGGAAGGGGAAAGTTTAGGATAGGATGGAAGAGCTTGGATGAATAAATAAAATAGAGAAGAGGGAAGATCTCGGGGATTCATTAGAATTAAAAAATATTATTGATAGAAAAAAGAAAAACCTTTTTTAGGTCTAAACTAGGGATTGCTTCCTAAAACAAATTGATAAGTTGCCTGTATTTCGAAATAACCTATCGAAGAGTTAAAAACAAATTTCTAAAATTTACGAAAACTCATGGATGGTACGGGTTGAGAAAAAAAGTCGAGTTGGGGTTTCAAAAATTTATATGGATCGGGTTTATAGTCGAAAAACATAAGGTCAGGATTTCGGGTAACCCCCGATCCATCCTTGGTAGGAATCAAATTATGTCTCGAGACACGAGCGGTTGGTACAAGACTAGGGAAGAGGTAGGTTTTGAAGATTTGTGGATTAGAAGATCTCGTGGGCATGTTTAGGGACAATTAAGAATCCTTGTAATCTAGGAATCGTCGTCTAGTGATCCTTGAAGGGTCTGTAATAATTAGAGCCCGGATTTTTATGCAAATGCATATTTTTTTTGCAAACTTTTCATGATGTGTAATGCACAAAAAACACTGTTTCCGCAAGTTTTGAAAACTTTAGAGGGGGTTTCTATTTGCATATAATGCATATTTTTGCATATTCCGGACTTTGTTGCATAATGCATATTTTACTGCATATTTTGAGGTTTTTTGGGAAAATATTGCGAAAATTGCCTAAAATCCTGCCAAAAAGTGAAAATTTAGTAAAAATTTAGGAAAAAATTTGTAAAAATTACAAATTTTGTAAAAAAATTTTTGTGTTTATTGGTTTCGCCAGAAAATGGCCCACCCCCATAATGTCTCAGCCCCAAAACGTCGCACCCCAAGATGTCCCACCACCAAAATGCCTCATCTTAAAATGCTCAACAGCTTAAAAATGCTCAATCTGTCGAACTAAACATTTAAAATAGGAGAAATCTAAATAAAAAATAGGTGTTTAAACCGTATAGACTAAAAATATGTAAAATTTTTAGGTATAAATGGTATTTTTCATGCATATATGCGTGTATATTTTGGTTTACTTGCATATTTTTGTGCATATTTTGGCAATTTTTTATACATATTATAGTGCATATTTTGCATTTTTTAATGCATAAAAATCCGGGCTCTAGTAATAATACTTATAGAGATATTATATTTTATTAAAGAAAAAGAACGTGTATTTGCGGTAGTTTGGATTGCTCTTTTTAACAGTTCGTATAAATTAATTTTAAATAAAATACCCCAAAAATATAGGGAACTAGCTAAGGCATATTTGAAATAAAGCAAAGTATTAGCATAAAAATTAAAAGTATTTTCCCCAAATACACTAATTCGACTAAAGATTAAACAAAAAATTAATTCCATTTAAAAAAAATATACGAACACAATGACACAAGTTTTCCCTCAAAAAAATTTGTGTCCTTTCTCTTCCCTGAAAATTCCTTCTATTCAATTCAATTCCTACCCGATCAAGCGAAAGCTTACAAAATTTGGGCAAAATCGAATAAATAGAAAGGTCAGGAAAAAAAAATTTTTTTTGGCTTGGAAAAGAGAATAAAGGTATATAAAGATGATGACCTTCAAAATGTAAGCACTTACCGAAGGTTTTATTACTATAAAAGGGCCTTAGTTGGGTATTCTCCTTTTATCCCTTCCTTTTTAGGAATGCTTTTATCCCAGAAAAGTAAGTAGAGAATATACCGGAACATACAAAAAGCAAAAAGAGAAAAACTATTTTTTACTCGTTTTGAGGTGCCATCCATCACCTTTACAAAAATCATGCCTAAGCTTGAAACATAAAAGGGAAGAGTTTTTTTGTTATTTTTTTTTTGTGTTCATCAAAGCGCGCTGGTCTGCTTTTAAATTATAAAAAGAGGAGAAAAAGTAAAAAAAAGTAGTAATGAATAGACTGACTTTGAATGAATAAATGAGACTTTTGGCTTGTCCATGAGACAAAAAAAGAGGCGGCATTAAAAGGGAGTAAAGGTATATTTATAGGTTTTGTTTAGTAGACAGTCAAGCTTTGAATGAAGAATAAGTGAATAGGTAGGGAGACAAGCTATTTAAATGGAAAAATAACAACTAAAAATAAAATCAGAATTAAAAAATAAAAAGCAGAATAGCTATTAGAAAAAATCAGAAAAAATCAGAACAACAAATTAATAGCAATTAGAAAAAATCAGAATTAAATCAGAACGTGTTTTGAAAAATCAGAATTATAATAAATAAAATTACAAAACCAGAACAGAAATCAGAATATTAAAATCAGAATTAAATCAGAATAACAGAGAGTATTGAATCAGGACAATAAAAATCAGAATTAAAAAATCAGAATTAAATAAAATTACAAACCCAGAGGAGAAATCAGAATATTAAAATCAGAATTAAATCAGAATTAAATCAGAATAACAGAAAGAGTACTGAATCAGAATAATAAAAAATCAGAATTAAAGTCAGAATTAAATCATAATTAAAAAATCAGAATTAAATAAAAATACAAAACCAGAACACCAATCAGAATATTAAAATCAGAATTAAATCAGAACTAAATCAGAATAACAGAAAGAGTATTGAATCAGAACAATAAAAAATCAGAATTAAAAAATCAGAATTAAAAAAACAGAATTAAATCATAATTAAAAAATCAGAAAAATAAAAAATCAGAATAACAAGCTTAAAAGCTACAACAAATATACAATAAACAAACTTGAAGCAAAAATCAACATAAAACATCAGAATAAAATAAATAATAAAACTTGCAACCTTAATAAATACTTTACCTAAATTATTAGACATATCCAAACAAATATTTGAGGCCAAACAAACAAAAATCTTAAGAATAATAAAATACAATGCTCGGATGTTAATGAACAATACAAAAAGTTTTTGTATATATTTGGCTATTCGGGAAGCTTGTTTTTACTTGTAAGGCCACAATTGTTCTCTCGCGCATAAAATAAATATTCTAATAAATAAATATTAATATATAAGTGGAATTTTGTATATTTATAGTGGAAAGATTGTATGCCAAGAGCAGGTTGAGGAATAAATAAACACAATTAATTTTTGGGAATAAAGCAAACTTTTATAACGAGAAAAGAATATATTTGGGAATTTTTAAGGTCTATGTGGAAAGCTAGAGACCCGGAAAGCCAGAGAGAAAATAAATATAATATGTAGACTAAAGTTAAATATGGACTAAAAACTTAAAATATCCGAAAGGTATAAACAATTATTAATTCCGGAAATTCATTAATTCCGGAACTTAACGAGTAATGAATGCATTAATTCTGAAAAGACTAACAATAAAAAATTCAATAGAAAAATACAAAATTAAATAATGCAGGAAACTAGGGTTGTCGGTTCTTGGAAATTCTTTGGATATCCGAAAGCAACCCGAACCAAAAAATCATCGGTTCTTCTGTTCGGTTCGGTACAGGGAACTATCGAAATTTTTAATTTATTGATTATTAATTCAGGAAATTACAGAGTAATTCATTAATTCTGGAGAGTATATTTAATAAGCAAATCCCGGAGAAAAATAAAAAGGGGACTACTATAAATAATATTGTTTAGACTAAATTTAGAAAATATATTTTTTTTCAAAAATATTTATAAACTGAGCTAATATAAAATTGTAAAAGCCTTAAAAAATAAAAAGCATTTTATGGCCAATAGTATTAACAACCTACTGTAAAGAAAAAAAAATAAAAATGCTTTAGAGGATTAGCTACAAGTAAAAATGGGTTGGTTGATATTTTGTGTGTGTGAGCTCTTCTCTTTTATTTTCTCGTTGCTTTGGCCGTGTAAATGGCTTTATTGTTGATGGCTTTGCCTCTCGCGGGAAAAAATTGTAAAAAAAAAGAGGCGTTGACAATGACGATTGGGCCAATTTGGCGAAAAGGAAGGGGGAAAGAATTAAAAAAGGGGGAGAAAATTGGTGAAAAAGTTGAGGGGAAAATTGGGAGAGAGACTCTTTTTTTGTTGAATTTTAAGCCTATTTGGAAATAAATATGTAGACTAAATTTAGAAATAAAGCTATAATATATTTTTTATGTTAAATTTAATGTTGGGCCTTTTATTGGAATTAGATTTGTCCTTAAATTAGAATTCCACCGTGAAGTAGAACCCTATTTACCGATTGGGCAAATTTTGGAACCCCTTTCTAGGGCAGTGGAATTTCTTAATATAAGGGAAATATATAGACAGCAGAGTTGTTTCGAAATTTCGATTTACGGTTTTCGAAGATTGTTCAGTTTCGAAACATCTCTATTAGGAGAGGTATTACTAGAGAACAGACCGAAACTAGATCTCTAACAAGAACCTCGATTGTCAAGAAGCGGGATTTTTCGAGATATCTCGATTCTCGTACACACTCCCAGTCAGGTCTTACACAGTGAAGTAGAACCCGATTTGACGATTTGGCAAATTTTGTAACCCCTTTCTAAGCCAGATGAAAACACTTTACTATAGAGAACAGAAAAATCTCGGTTATCGAGAATCGAGATTTTTCGAGATATCGATCTCGATTCTCGTATATTTTCTCGTATTCCCAGTCCTGTCCCTAGTTATCAGTCTTCACAAAGAGAGAGAAAGGGTTTTGGGAGGTCGAACCCTGCCTCATCCTTCTACCAATAGTTAAAAATATTTTTGCCAGAATTCACTCTCTTTTCAGCTATTAGTACACAAAAAAGAGACATTTCATCTCTTTTCGGATAATTGAGTTAACGCGCCGAATTTCACCGCAGGGAGTATAACAACAACAAAAAACAACAAAGGGTGCGCGAAAAAAAAGAAAAGATGCCGTTAACTGACAAAAAAAATTTTTTTGGCTCCATTCCTTTTTTGGATAAAAAGAACAAAGAAAATGTTAAAAAGGAGAAAAGACAAAAGCTGGCAATGATTGGGGCCAGTTGCGAATGAAGGGAGGGAAAGGAACAATGTTTTCTATATTTTATAATGGCAATGAGAAAATAAAATGAATGGTAGTGTAGAATGTGAAAAAGATGTATGTGAGGGTAGGAACGAAAAAAAAGTATATAAAAAGGAAATAAAAAAAAAAGTAAAATAAAATGGGAGAATATTGAAATTTAAGTGAAGTTGAGAGATTTAAAGGGAAAATATAGGGTTGTTTCAAGTTTAAGTTTATTTAAGTTTATTTTAAGTTCGTTCTTGATGTTTCAAGTTTATTTAAGTTTCTGAGTTTGTTTACGTTTGTCTTAAGTTCGTTCTAGATGTTTTAAGTTCGTTCTTATTGTTTTAAGTTTGCTCAAGTTTGTTTCAAGCTTGTTCTAAATGTTTTAAGTTTGTTTGAGTTTCTGAGTTTGTTTACGTTCATTTTAAGTAAATTAAATGTTTCTCTAAAAAAGCTTATTTGTTTAGGTTTATCTAAACTGCTTCATGTTTGTCTCAAGTATTTTTGCCTTGGTTGTTTCATTTGCCTTTTTCATTATTTTCATGCTTCAATAAATGCTTCAAGAGAAATAAAACAATTTAAGATGCTTCAGGCTTGTCCAAGAAATGCTTCTAGTTTTCGGTAACACTCTAACTTTTATAATAATAAAAGTTTCAACAAATGCATTGCTTCAGAAACAAATTACCGTATTTCCTATATTAGAGCCCCATGGGGCTCTATTTTTCAACTATCCTCCAGGGTGGGGCTGTATTAAAGGGTGGGGCTCTAATTGAGGGTGGGGCTCTATTTTTCAACCCTCTTTGAGTTAAAATCCCATTTATTAACTGTCCATTGCAACAAGAGATAGGCCGGAGGGGATGGTCGATAAAACCGAAAATATCAAAAGCGAATCGATATTTTTTTTGATTTTTCATGAAAAATTAAAACTTTTTAAGCAATGAATAACAAAATAGTCACAATAATTCAATAAGAGTAAGATTAATATTAAATATTAATAGATTTGGACGGATTAAAGGAAATATTAGGGGACTAGTGTTTGACATCGATGGATCAGAGGTATAAGAGTGGCTTTTAAGGGATTATGGGGAATACAGAGGATTAAGCTTATATTGAGAGATTTAGCGGGATTAAGAGGGATATTCTGGACTAGGGGTATTAGGAGGCAAATGAAGGGATTTTGTTTGATGAAGCTTTTGAACAAGTTCCAGAACTGGAACCGATTTTGGAGAAATTTTGGAACTTCATCACTGATTATAAGCGAGATCTCTAATAGATCTTTAATAATCTCTCGAATTATCGCCAAGTGCCTAACACGATTGCAACCCTTCATATTGAAACCCTTCAAAAATTGCAACCCTTCATAAATTTATTTTATTGGAGATAATAGGAGGGATTTGGAGGAATATAGGCGATTCTAGAGTATTTGGGCGGATATCGAAGTTATCCCCTCCTTTTCATTTCTATATTCCTATGATCCCTCCTCCTTCTTGATCGCGATATCATCGAGATCCATCCCCTTTATTTCCTTAACTCTCTTAATACATCTAAAAAGTTATTGGGATAATTTTTCCTCCAATATTTTTTAGGTGGGGCTTTATTTGGGGTGGGGCTCTAATTGAGGGTGGGGCTCTATTTTTTAACTATCCTCCAAAGTGGGGCTGTATTAGAGGGTGGGGCTCTAACAGAGGGTGGGGCTCTAATATAGGAAATACGGTAATAATGTTTCTCTTAAGGTTATTATTTGAAACAAAGTTTAAACTTGTTTTTCGCAAACTTGTTTTAAAAAAACTTTAAAATAAAACAACAAGTTTAACAGTACTGTTAAATAAAAGTAAAATAAACTATCGCTAAAAGGCTGGCTAGACTAAAATAAAAATAAATTGTTTAGAGGATAATCACCACCAAATAGCTTAAATATTGTGTTGCTTCTGTTGTTTTAATAGAGCGCGCATTTTAAATCGCTCATTTTCAATCTGCGCAAGTATGGAAATTCTTTAAAACTATTTTTATAGAAAGGCAGAGAGTTATTGAGAGGATTGCACAACTTGAAGCAAAAAAAGGAAGGAGAAGGAAGCTACGCACAAACGACCCCCAAAAATGGGAAAAGGATGGCAGCAAAAGCAGTTAAGCAAGCAATATATATTTATTTGGAAAAGGGGTTAAAGACAAATTTTTTGGTAGGGGTGAAGTTTTGACAAGTTTGGAACGAGCAAGAAGCGAAAAATAAAATTAAAAGAAGAATAAATGGGGGGGGGGGAAGATAGCGAAAGCACTTTAAATTATATTATTTTTATGCAAAACTATTTAGAGAATAAATATGCGGAATATTTAGCTTAAATTAGGATATTATAGGGTACTATACCAAGCAAGGTTAAATGAATATATCCATTTATTATTTTGTTATTTTTAGTTGAATTCTTATTCGAGCCAAGGTAATTTTGAGGGGAGCCAGACAGAAGTTCGAGTTGATTTTCGTGCCGAACCTTGAACAGCCATTGAATTGAACCCTAATTTAAGGACCTATCGAAAGTTGTTTCTAAATCAGTTAACAAGGATATTCCAAGTTAAAAAATTATTTTGTTATTTTTGGTTGGGTTGTTGTTCGAGTAAGGTACTTTTGAGGGGAGCCAGACAGACGTTCGAGGTAATTTTTAACCCTTGAACAGCCTGAACCCTAATATAAGGACATAATTAAATGTTTCTAATTTAAGGACCTATCAAGATTGTTTCTAAATCATTTTACAAGGATATTCCAAAAATACTCGAATATTTGAACGAATGTAAACAAAAAAGTATTGTTCTATTCAATGGGGGTAAGAAAAAGAATTGGTGATTGTTTTGTGTTCAAAACACATTTAAAACGTTCCTCTATATTTCAAGGGCATTTGATTGAAATTTTAAGCTTAAGAATTTTATTAGATACAAAATAAAGAAAAAAGATCATCAAGGACATGAAAATAAAAATGGTTAAAGAGTTGCGATTTAAATTTAAAGAAAAATTTAGAAAAAAGTTGAAATTAAAAACAAAAATTTAGAAATATTTAGTTATGAAATTATGAATAATTTGAATCTTGTTATAACAAAAAATTTACTTTTAAAATCGAATTTCAAGATCCCATAGGGGTTGGGGTTCAAAAATTCCGAACGGGAAGGGGTGAACCTTCTCGAAACTTCAAATCGGGGAAAGTCCTTGAGTTTTGGACGAGGTTCATGAAATTCTAAATGAGATTCCATCCTATGTAGATCTTTAATTATAACCCTCTCTCACCGAATTGGATGGGTGGTGTCATAATGTATTTGTTGGTGAGCTTTTATTTGAGGATGGGAATATTTTGAGCAGTAATTGAATTTTGAAATTTGCTCGTACTCGTACTTCGTACACAGGTACGAGGACGAATTTTTGTACGAGCTTCCAAACACTGATCCGGAGGCTGACTAATCATTGTGGATTTCAAACCTGCTCATGGATACGGATATGGATACAGATAATAATATCCGCCTGTATCCACCGTAAATATCCAGATACGGATACCAAAATCATATACTGAGCAGGTATGGAGGATACTCCTTTGGGGTAACCTTTGGTCCTTTGGATCCTTTGAATATCCCTTTGGATTATAAAAAAGAGTCTACTTTAATAAAATTTAATCATAAGGTAAAAGAGTAAAATTTCATCATCAAATCAAACAATTCCCAAAAATGAACAGGTTAAAAATCTTTAAAACTAAAAAAGAAGAAACTGCCTTCATTGTTGATTGATGTTAAACATTTAATGAGTCATTTAGTTTAAAAAGTAAGTATTGGGCCAACAATTCCCCCTCCTTTTTTACATCCAATTTGACAAAAAGAAAGTTGTGTAATAGAATTATTGTTATTTTAAAGCTCAAGCTAGCCAAATGAGAGGCGCTCAAGTAGAAAAAAAAAGAAAGAATGGAAAGTGGTTGCCGCTTAAAAATATTTCTTTTAATGCGCGTGATTTTTGAGAACAAAGTCTGTGTCCATATTTTCTCGATTACCAAAAATCTGTCAAAATGAACAGCAGCATTTTCTACCTATTTCTATTACTAACAAATAAAGAGAATAGCTCCTCTTACTTGAATGAGGCTGTAAAGTTTTGTTGTTTGGCTTGTTCAGCCAAAAAAGGCTCTGACAACCAAGTAACTATTGCTCTAACGACGACAATAGTCTTGTCGGCTGGCTCTTCCATTTACGTATATATATATTTTGTGGCCCCTTTTCTTCCTTTCCTCTTCAGCCACCAATCATTCGGCCAACTTGCTACATATACTTATACTCTAGTCAGTGTCGCTCTCGTAGCATTACAACAACAACAACATACACATAAACACAAGCATGGCAGAGTCATCACCCGGCTTTGCCGGTTACCAAAAAAAATTTTTTTTTATATTTAAGAATTGAAATGAATGAGCGCTTTTTTTGTTGTGCGCAACACTGCTGGAGAGAAAGGAAGAAAGGAAAGGTAAAAAAGAATATTTACTAGAAGCGTTGTTTTCCTGTCTAATATATAAAATGTTTATTTGTGAACGTACAATGATTTGTTAAAAAAAAGTTTGAGCACAGCGCGAGATTGTGATTGTGCTTGAAAATGTGAAGAAAGTCGAGAATAGGGGAAAAACATAAATAGAAAGCAATAAATAAAAATAACAACAACAATAAATAATGTAATAATGATGTTGTTTTGTAATAAAGAAATGTTTTTTATACGTTTGTTCTTAAGTTTTTAAGTTTGTACTTAAGTTTTAGTTTGTGTTAGAGTTGGTGTTAAGTTTTTAAGTTTGTTTCTGTTGTTTTCAAGCTTGTGCTTAATCTTTTGTTTACTTTTAAGTTTTCGGTTTGTTTTCCTTGTTTTTGTTCTGGTTTCAAGTTTGTTTATCAAGCCTCAAGTTTTACGTTTGTCTTATCTCTACATTATTAGATGTTTAAGGTTTAATAGTTTACATGTTTTTCCTTCCCATGTTTTAAGTTCAATCCTAAGTTTTTTAGTATTTTTGTTGTAGTTTAAGTATCAAATTTTAACAATTGTAATAATTTATAAGCAACATTAAAAGCTTTTTTATTACTTTTATTTATATTAAGTAAAAATAAAATCTTCCGCCGATTTTCTAAAATTTTTACAATTTCCTTTATTGTATTTTTATTATACATACTACTCTCCCATCAATTCCCAATTTCCGTCCCAATCAACTCCCGGCCATTACGCCTCTTATTGCGCATGATTTGCTTGAACAAGAGCAATAATAGAAAGCAGGTTGTGTTGTTGCTTCACATTGAGAGCGAGTCTGTCGGCTGCTTTACTTTGCTGTGTTATTCTTTTTGCTTTCCCCTTTCTTTTTTTCTTTACAGTCAGCTGGATGGATAGTCGTCTCCCTTTCGTTTTTTTCTTCTTTTTTTCCATCCGCTCTCGAATGAACACGCCGGCTCTTCTCTTTTTTCTACTTGTAATAAAATGGAAGGGGACAAAAGGAACAACAATTGGCGCAAGTTTGGCTCTAGAGGAGGTGTTGAGCACACGGAAAATGCGCGATGTGAGATTGGGGGTTGATGATAGAAGGATGGAAGTGAAGGGGGAATGGAAGAGGGGGGAGGGGGGTAAATGGGGGGAAGGGGTAAGCAGGAAAGAGAGACAAGCACACACTCTTCAACGGCAAGGTTGAGGTGTAAAGGGTTGTGAAATAGGTAAAAAAATTTGATGGTAAGTTGGCAATTTGCTATTTTTTTGGTGCTTTAGATGACAAAAACCGGAATTTTTAAGGCAGCCAATAGTGGCAAATGGCAAGAGATGAGTAAGGAAAGGAAGGAATTAAATAGCTGCTGCCTGGCCCTAAATACAAAACAACAAAAGCAAAAAAGCGTCTCTCTCTCTAGTATTTTCTATAGTAAGCAAGAGGCAAGAGAAGGAATCGCTTATTTTTCCACACAGGAAAGTGGAAAATTTTAGGAATTAAAAATAAATTGTTGTGCGCATGGTTGAGCGTTTTTAGGCTAAAAAAACTTTGTCCCCTCTTAAAGGCCTTTTTTTTAAATTTTATGAGAAAGTGACATGACGGGATCAGCCGTAAATGGCGAGAAAGAAAAAGGTGGTAGGGGGAGAAAATGGGAAACAAGTGCCTCTACTTAAGTAAAGCTTAAAGGAAAGAAGAAAGGTTTTTTCCTCATCTTTTAAGTTTTCAATAATTTTTGGAAAATTTTTTGAGTAAGTTGGAAATATTTAAAACAATGTAAGTATGTATATTAGAGTTTAAATTGAATACATGTGTTCTACTACGTAATACAAAAATAAATAAGGCAAAAGGTGCAGGATCCTGTCCTGCACCGACCTCTATTTGAAACTACTACATATATGTATGAAAACAAAATGAAATTGTAATTACTAGAAACTATAAAAATCCAGATTTTAGAAAGCTAAGGAGAGCTAAAAATTAAATATATTTAATGGCTTGGTTTTTCAATTTTTTTCGGGACTACGAATAATAAAGTATTTAACAATGAATGACAATATAGTTACTAAAATTTATATAAAATGTAGGGGAAGCGTGCTTTCATCAATTTTTAGTTGAAAGTATTTTGAATGGAAGCAAAGCATCCCCCTATTCACTCATCTCTCCGATATAACCATTAAAGCATTTTTATTCTAAATAGTGGCACAAGTAACAAAAAGACCCCCAAAAATTTTTTCCTATTATTTTAGCATTTGCATTCCAACAAATAAATAATTTCCTTCCTCCCCTTCAACATAACTGTGTTTGGTAAGGCTTGCCTATTTTAGACTAATATATTCATGCTCGTTCATTCCTATGCCCCCAACCTTGCGCTGAATTCTTTTCATCGCTTAATCCGGCTGATGTGCTACTGTTATATGTATTTTATTGTAAAAAGGGAAGAGTAAAAGCAACAACAGCAAGCAACAACCACGAGAATGGAGGACGAGAAAAACGCGGAAGGGAAATTGGTTGAAGAGAGGGGAGAGAAATGGGGGGCTTTTGATTAAATTTCAATAAAAGAACTGAAGGGGGGAGGGGTACCTCAATTAAGAGGTAATTAAAAAGAATTTAGGTACCTTTCTTCCAGAGGTGGGTCGGAATTCCGACTTCCGAGTTTTTTCCTTCTGATTTCCGAGTTCCGACTTTTGAGCCAGTCCTATTTCGACACCTTTGACTGTTCCGACCCACCTCTGCTTTCTTCTCTCAAAATTTAAGCTAAAATAAAAAATTACTTTAATACTGTAAAATGGCGAGTCCAATGATATTTAAAATTTTTTTACTTTTCAAACAAATTTTCAAATAATGAAAAGAATAGCTAAGAAATATTAACTAAAATAAATCAAATCTTTCGATATTAATCCTGTTTAAAAATATAAAAATTAAAGATTTGCAACATATGCAAAATTTGAATTTTCTTTTATTTTTGAAAAAGAGATAGACCATTCGTCATCTAGGAGTCGCTGTTCTTTAATTTTTGGAACGGGAGTTCGTTTAGAACTCCCTCATTTTTGTGCTTTGGGTTTTGATGACTTCCAAAGTTTTCAATTGAAAAGCACAATAATTACATACAAAAAAACTTCGTTACATTTCTCTTGCTTTATGCCTATATGGGGGAAGATTTTATCAAGAGTGCGTCTTATAATGAGTGTATCTAATTAGAGAGGCTTTCAAAAAATTAAAAAAGCTGGAGGGAGTAATTAATCGAGGGAGGGTAATTATACGAAGTTTGAAATTTGAACGTGGTTTAGTTGTGGGTAATTATTGTTTCAATCTATCATTGGATGGGGTGATTAATGAAAGTGGGGTGATATTTGAGGAGGGGCAATTAATACAGGTTATACGGTATATAAGAAATGTTTATGGATTATTGACAATTTTAAATGAGGAAAATGAAGAAGAGTAAACTAATTTCCAACACTAGGTCAATGCTTGATGTCCTCAGCTTGCGCTGAATTTTGTACTTATTTTGCTTGTTTTCAACAAGAAAATTAATAGAAGCACAAGCATTTATCCTTCCCTTCATTCTTTCTTCCCCCAATTCACCTCCCTTCCCATAGCCATAAACATCAACGCCCTTCAGCTTATGAGCATCGCTTGTTTAATACTAAAAAGGTAATACAAAGCTCAACTATCTATTTTTACATCAAGCACAACAGGACGGCAATTTTTGTTTGAAAGCATGCAGCAAACGGCCTTGGATGTGAAAATTTTTGGAAGGCCGGTGAATGATTGCTCTATTGTATGATTGAATGAATTAATAGAGGAATTGAATGGCAGACAGTCCATTGCTTTTTTTACTATTTCTAAAAAGCTGCTAATTTTGTTTTGGGGTAATTCGTATAAGCATTTTTACGAGTATGTCTCGATAAATAATGAAAATACATAAAAAAAAAGAAAAAATACATACATTAAAACATGGACCTTTATTGAGTTTTCTGTAGCTTATATGTACAGGGTGCGGCAAATTTAGCGCCGACTTTGTTTTGGCTATAACTTTTTTAATTTTAAACGAAAATTGATAATTCTTTTTTTCCTGGATTCCCAACACTTTAGGAAAATTGTTGATACCAAAATCGTTTTTAAATTTTATAATTAAGTTTGATTAATTTTCTATCAAATTTCGAGCAAAAATTTTTGGATAAAATATGGCCTGGATTCAAGGCTATTATTTTAATTTATGAAGTTTATATATCATTCGAATCAGCTCTCCAATCTGATTCGAATGACGTCAAAATCAGGCGTCTATCACATAAATGGACCGAGATATGGCTCACTGAATGATAAATTAAACAAATTTTGGCAAATACCAATTTTTTGTGTGAAATTTTCAAAAATGAGATTATTAGCTATTTCGATACGCCTGAACGAGATAAGTCGATTGGTACCAAAATTATTCGGATTGGATGATTTTGAACAAAGTTATGATCAATTAAACTTTGACATGAAAAATCCATTTTTACCCGTTTTTATGTTCGTACTCGTTTTTCATTAATATCCGCAAACAAAATGTTTATTATTTGGTACCAATAGATTTCCTAAAGTGTTAGGTGTAAAACAAAAAAAGAATTATCAATTTTCGATTAAAATTAAAAAAGTTATAGCCAAAACAAAGTCGGCGCTAAATTTGCCGCACCCTGTATTTCGTTTGCAATTTTTTCAATTTTTTATAATGTACCTTAAACTATAAAATAATGAGAAAAATTTTTGATGAAAATTTAGATGAAATTTCACATAGTTTTATTTAACAAATTGATTACTCCCTTTTTAACAAATTTATAATTAAAATTATTCAACAATGTAAAGAATAATTAATATTTAATTTAAATAATTTCCATAAATTTAAACCCGAATAAATAAATTTAAAAAAATATCATTAATTCTGACAATTCAGACCTCAATTTAATTTCTGACTCAATTCAGGATTGTATTTTTAATTAATAGGTTGGTGCAATTAGTCAGACTTGTATCCTTCCTCAATTCCACTCTATTTCCCTGTGGCATATTCAAATGCATTGATAATGTAAAGATAAAATTTTTACTATATCACCAAGTATGAATTATGTAAAGCATATTAGCTATTAATTTCCTAAAGCTGAGCAGTAGGCGGCGTGGTGTAATGGCTAACACATCAGTCCGCTCTACTGAAGATGCTGGTTCGCTCCCAGCCGCCGAATAACCTTTTGCAATAGCTAAATGAGAGAAATAGCTATAGCTCAGCTGCTTTACTATTAGCATTTGAGTCGGTATTTTTATTCATTTCAGACAAAAGCGGCCATTTATATTTAAAATTAAACTTTTTATTAATGTCTCATTTAAATATGCCACAGGAAAATTAAGTGGAATTGAGGAAAAAATTAAGTCTGACCATTATGTATAAATGAAGGAATAAGGGGAGACGAACATGAATTTTACCGAAATAAGAATTTTATAGTAAAGAGAGGAGAGAAAATTTCCCGTTTGAATAAAAAGAATTAAATTAAAGGGTTTATTTCTTTCGACACAAGCTGAGCACTTGTTCATCATTACAATGAAATCCAGGACAGCATTGATCGTCTCTGGCACAAGATTGACCATCACATGTTACGCATACATTTCCTGTACCACATATTGAATCTGTAGAAGTCGAAAAAATTATTTGACACCTTATGTAGCTCGGATTTTCGTGCACTAGAAGGCGTGTCAGGCTAATATAGTCCGACATAACACATTCTTACCAAAAATATAATCCTTACGAAAACATTGAGAAAAATTCGCACTGGGGTCATTTTGGCTGAGGGACATTGTTTGTTTGTTACAACGTGGGATGTTGTTCAAATAACAGGAGGATTTTTTGAACCCCCACCCCCTCCCCGTAGCCAACATGAAAACTCCGTACCCTGATGTATTTACACACGATTGTCTTTTAAGAGTCATCGTTGTAAATCTCGATTTTTCCGTTATTTTAAGGACCAAGCTATATGTAACCGCACGAAGTTTTCCTTTTCAAACAAGAGTAGTCTTTACCATCCATACCTTTACAACAACCATCATCTTTTTGACATGTGTTTCCATCAGCGACACAAGGAGCATAAGAACAATAATAGTTACCATTAACGTTGGTTTTTTTGCAAGATAAGCTACCACAGCATTTTCTATCATTACAGCTAACCCCATGGTCACTACAATCTTTAGTGTGAATTAATTGAAATAAAATAAAAATTGAAACAAGGAAAAGGTTAATTGAAGACATTTATTTAGAATTTAGAAAATCTCTGAAAATAATTTTTATTTGGGGAGGGTTTGTTTCGACTCTCTTAAAGCGATAATTGTTAATTGTCTAGAATTCCCGTTTCATTCCCTGAAATTCTTCAAAACCTGTAACCACTTGAGTATAAATATATAGGATCGAGAAAACATCTCTTCGAAATTTTGTGAAAATTTTGAACGAATGGGCTATCAAATGAGCTACATTTAAATTAGGGTTAGCAATATCGGGGGTCCTGGCCGGTATTAAACGAATTATATCTTCTTTCCTGGATTCCCGACACTAAGAAAATTGCTGATACCAAATAATGGAAATTTGGTTCGCTGATGGGAATTTCTGAAAAATCTAAAAACATTTTTCATGCCAAGGTTTAATTAAAATTTATTTTATTTGGTAATTTCAGAATTTTATTTTACTCAGATAAATTAATATTATTTTTGCTAGATAATAAAGAAAATTATTAAATAAAATTAAAAAATGATATGGCCAATTCAGATTAAAAAATCGTTTTTAAAGGCTTTTGTACAAACAACAAAATACAAAAAACCTTAAAATTGTTTGGGATCTTTAAAATTTATTGTTTTATTTAAACAGCAATAAAAATTAAAGCTTTTAAATTTAAAAATTAATTTATCAAGCAAGAATTTCTAAATATAGTTTTAAAAATTCATTTTTTATTTACCTAAAAAGCATCCAACGCAAGTTTAGATTATTCACAATTGAAAACATGGCAGCTTCATGTGATGAGTATTTCATGTGACAGTGAATATGTACGGGCATGATGATAGGGTAATGATGAGAGGCAATTGGTAGCTTTAATTTGTATGGAAAATATTTTTTAAATTAATATTTATGGTGTGTTTAGAAATTATTAAATCGATTTTAAAAATTTTGATTTTCATATTAGCAATGTTTGAAAATTTTTATAAAAATTTCTTTGAGCATTTAAATTAATAAAGAGTAGGACCGGCGCCGGACCGGACTCCAGCCGGATTTTCCAGAGTCCGTGCCCCAAATCCGTGTTCTTGAAATTTCCGTACTAAACCCGGACCGGAGTAATCCGGAGAATCCGGAAGAATCCGGTCCGGCTCTAGTTACAAATCCGGATCTGGGAAATTTTTTTGTATCGGATTTGGGACCCGGACCTCGTTTTAGAATCTTTCAATTTTTTCGTATTTTTATAAAAAGCAGGATTTTGACCTTTAGCTATTCTAAATTCTCAAAATTTTCGCCTGCGGCACTGAAAAAGTCGAATTTCTGCACTGATTTTCTTTATATTCTCAAAATCTTCCTATATCTCTTTAACCGTGTCACGACACCTGCAGACCCGACCTATTGAATACAAATAATATTTCACGTCATTTTAGCTATTCTACAATACGTGATTACTCTGAGTTATTACGATACTCCAAAATATCAAAGTGAGTTTTAAATGCACTTATACAAACAAATTCAATTTTAGTATTATGATCTTCTCAAGGCAGCGATGATGGATAAAGGGGTAAACGAATACCCCTACGATTGGGAGAGGTAGAAGAAAAGCACAAGAACAACTAACAACAACAAAAGAATCCCAATAGAGCTTTGAAGATATACTATAAATGAATACATGTACAGTATTTCTTCTATTAGAATGGCCCCCTCTAATAGAGTGTCCCCCCTTTTTACTCTATAATTTTCCCAAATATAAAAAGGTTAATTAATTTAAAGCTATTTGAATTCACTTTTTCTTATTTTTCTTGCCATTTTTGGAGTATTATTCAGTAAATATTTTTAATTAATATCTTTTTCGTATCTCCCATTTTAGAAAAGTGTGTGATCTAAGAAAGTTTGATGGATCCTTAATAATGAAGGTTCCCTAAATAATGAGGGATAAATAATGAGGGACCAAAAAAATAAAATTTGCGCCTTTTAAGAGACCATCATAGGTTAAGAAACCAACTAGAAATACCAACCTCGACTTCTTTCATTTTTTTAGTTGTTCATGTTTGTGGAGTGCTTGCCTAGAATATGCTACATTCTAATCTTCAGTTAGTCCCCTCCCTAACTACCGTATTTTCTCGTTTAATTCCCCTCCCTCGAATAATTCCCCCTCTCGATTAATTCCCCATGCTAGGGTCTGGTTGAAACAATAATTCGCCACCAACAAATGCCCTACTGTATGTTGCCAAAACTCGAATAATTCCCCTCCCTCGATTAATTCCCCATGCCAAGGAAGGGTTGAAAAAATAATTCCCCGGGGGAATTAACCGAGAAAATACGGTAATTATGTTATTATGGAATACCAAATAAAATAAAATTTGCGGCCTTTTAAAAACCCCATATACCGTAAATATCCTAATAGAAGCCCATGCCCTATTAGAAGACCACCCGATAGGGGGTATTGAAAAATATAAGCCCAGGGCTTATATTAGGATATTAAGAAACCAACTAGGAAAACCAACCTCGACTTATTTAATATTTTTAGTCGTTCAAGTTTGTGGAGTGCTTGCCTAGAATATGCCATCGGTCTAATCTTTAGTCGGTCCCTTTAATTATACATAATCGCCTTATTATTTTTTCAATTTTAAAAACTCAATATCCAAATTATCATCATTTTCTTTTCATTATTAAACACAAAATCTTTAAAAATCCCATCGACTAGTGATCATTTTTGATCACTTAATTAGAAACAAAAAAATTGAGAAATTGAGCAAAGAAACACCAAAAATACTGAAAAAAAACCCCAAACAAAAGCTTTTTAGTTTTTGAGTGCTAACGGCGATTAGGGGAAAAGAAAAGGAGAGGGAGAAGAGTCATATGTTGTGATTTTTATTACAATCAAAAAAACTATCGACCTAGTTGATGATTTTACTCGTGTTTTGCATTACTCAATATATATTTTTATATTAATTATTTTTACGTTTCTTAGTCTTAAAATCGGCTTTTTTTTAAATAAATTAAAGCTAAGGCTATAATTTAAATTTTGGGGTAAAATTTGGGGAGACGAAACATCAATTCGCCTCTAGTTACTATAATTTTTCGGGGTATTTTTTTATTTATGGCATCTCCTTTTCCCTGTAAATTAAAGCTTAAAGGCTTTAAATTTTGGGGTAACTTTGGGTAGACGAAACATCAATTTGCCTCTAGTTACTATAATTTTTGAGGGTATTTTTATTTATGACATCACTCTCTTTTTTCCTTCTTAAATTTGATGGTCATCCAGACTAGTTAATTTTTATAAATCTTGATATTTTTTAAAAGTCTTTGAACGTTAAGAAAAATTTTTCCTTTGTTGGATAGAAAGAAATACGGTCAGTCGACTAACTCAAATAAACTTCAAAGACAAAAAAAAAGGATTAAAATGGGGAAAGTTTAGGAAGGCTTCGATTTAAATTTACTTTAACCCCGAAATTTTTAAGTACTTTAATTTAGTCTATCAATTTAAGAAAGCGATCGGCTGACGTGTAAAAAGCGTCCTCTCTTTACCTATTGATTTAACTTGAACGTAAAAGTCAGGTTTTGCTGACCAAAAAACAGAAAAACAAAAATACTTACAAAAAAATCAGAATTTTTTTAAAAATTAATCGTAATATCCAACACAAAGATTAATCCTTCTTTAACCCAAGAAAAGTCCCCTTCCTCCTCTCTTTTCTCGACTGAAAAAATTAAGAAAGAATAGACCAATATAGACTGACCCAAATGATTTTTTACCACTTTGAAATTTTTATTTGTTTATTTGGGACACCTAGGCGCGCGGCCATAACGGCGCAAAGCTATAACTTTTTGGAAAATTCCTGGCCCTTATCAATTTTGATACCAATCTCTTTAGCTCGATGAGAGGAATCGTTTAATACTAAATTAGTTAAGATTCGAAAATCTTGAAACAAGTTATGGCTCTACGCCGTTATGGCCGCGCGCCTGGCTGTACCCGTTATTTTTCTTCGCTAAATAAAAAAGTTTCTTGCATTTAACGATTTCAGCTGTCAATAATTTTGTTTTTAGATAAATTAATTTAATTAATTTATAAAAATATGGGGAATGCAGAATGTCGACAAAATACGGGGAGGAGTTGTTCTGAAGGTTTTTTTGAAATTTTAAGAAAATTTTTTTCTGATTTTTCTAATTTTTAGACGACTCTCCTGCCCTTTCTTTTGATGAGAATTTTCCAAATTATAACGAAACTACAATTAATAGAGGAACTATTGTCAGTCCGAAGCCTCAGTTGAAGTAAGGGATTTTTTGTTAATTTTTGGGCGTTTTAAAGGATGGTTTTTGGGTTCTGCCTATTTTCCCCTCTAAATCGTTGATTATATTTGTGTTTGTTTTTGTAAAGGTTTTTATTTTTGTTGAAGACTAGAGCTCTTTGATTTTGTTTTCCTTTCGATATCTGACTTTTGAATGTGCCTTTGGGTTTAAACAAAAGTTCAGGTCCTAAGTTCTTTAAAAATGTGTTTATTTCTATCAGCTGATTTTGAGACAACCCGAGAGTCCAAGTAAATTTGAAGAATTGTTTTGGTTTATGAATCCAAAAAAATTTTTTTAGCCCAAATAGGTATAATAATTTTGAGGCAGTTTAATGCTACATTATAGGTTATATTCAGACTTGTAACCAGTGATTTTTTCGGGGTGGCCAAGAGGGAAAATTTTTCTGCGCCGAATTTTCGGCGCCGCAGGTCCCCAACCTCCTTGCTACGGGCCTGGTTATATTTAATACACAATTGAGTTTCTACTAGTTCAATTTTCAAAAATTTCTAGATGGGCTTGTGTCATTTAAATTTTTATTCTCTTTTAATTAATTTTTTTTTGAAAAATCAATTTTTACAGGTTCCATTCAATTTGTGGTACCAACATAGTTTTACTTCGAGATGGAAGGGTTGCTAAACGTCGGGAATCGTTCTGCAAAGGTTTAGCTTTCAGTAATAGACCCATTGGTATTGGAGAAATTGTGTGTATTCGTTTATGTGAAGTTGGGAATAATTGGTCGGGGGTTATGAGGTTTAGATTTTTTAATTTAAAAAATTTAAAAAAATTTGTTATTAAAATATTATTCGAAAATGGGGTGGGGGGGGGGTTGATAAATTTGTCAACTTGAATTTTTGGAGCTTGATTTTCAATTTTTGTTTTTCCCTATCTTTACTTTTTCCTAAGGGAAAACTGAAATATCTTCTGAAAATTTTTTGCTTTTATTTTCTATCTTGTAGATAGCGAAACTAATTTTCTATTCTTTTTGGGGACAACAATTTTTAAATCGCTGTCCACAAATGCAAAAAAAAAAATTAAAAAATTTTAAAGAATATTTAACCCAAAATTTCTGACATTCTTCTTGGATCCCAAAAAATCAGTAAAAAATTGTCTATTAAAATTCAAAAAATTTGTAAAGTTCATTGTTTGGTTTAGAAATGGTTCATTTAGGTTTGGTGTGACGAACGTTGATCCTGCAAGTTTCCGAGACATTGAACTTCCAAAGTTTGTATTTTCTTTTTTATTTTTTTATTTAATTTCATTAAAATCCTTCCAAAAATCCAAAATTTATTTAAAAAAATTTTTAGATTTGCCTGCCCCGATTTAACCTCAAAAGGCGGTTATTGGGCTAAATCACTTGCTGAACGATGTAAAAGTTTATTTTTTGTTTAAAAATATTTTTTATTTTCTAGTTTCCGTCCAAGGCTTAATTCTTCATTTTTTTATTAATGACAGTGGAGAAATGCATTATGGAGTAAATGGAGTACATAAAGGACTCTTCTTGAGTGGAATAAATGTAAATTCTCCATTGTGGACAATTGTTGATATTTATGGAAATTCTGTAGCTGTTGAATTTGTTGGTATGAATTTCTTTGTTTAATTATTTTTTAATGATTGGGATTAATTTTTAAATTTAAAACCTCCCGTTTTGGTTTTAAATTTAAAAACCTCCCGTTTTGGTTACCCATAAAATTTATGGTAAAAAATTTTTCGGGGGTGGTTCAGTATTAATTTGATTTTTGTAATAGTAATTAGGGATGTCTTAGGTTTCTGAAATCCAAACCCGAAATCCTAAGCCCAGAAAATTTTTCGATCCGATATCTGATTTTTTTGCTATCCGTGGCATTTCTGGTTGGAAGGAACTTCCATCTCTTATGTCTGATAAATTTAGAATAAATAGAAAATTTCTCAAAGGGGCAACATTTTTGAGAGGTTTCCCTATTTTTTATTCAAAATTTTTTCTTTTTCATTTATTTTTTTAAAATTTTGGACCCTGCCGAGGTCCACCTTGAACGGAGAGCACTTCTCCCCTCTTCTCCTACACCTCTCCATGCTTGCTGTTCACTTACTTCACCAACTTCTAATCCTGTAAATTCATCAAATACAGAGGCAATGACAAGTTCGAGATCAACACAAAATTTGAGAAATGTGGGAAATTCAACAACTTCTCGATCTACTGCTTCTAGTACACCGCCAACAAATAATAATAATAATAATAATAGTCGGGGTATTTTTAGTTAATTTAAAAATACAGTTGAAATTCTGATTTTTGTGTTTTTTTGTATTTTTGTTTTTATTGACATTTCAGAATTTGTGTTTTCTTGTATTTTCTCTCTTTTAATTATCAGAATTTAAAAATCAGAATTATTAATTTATTCTAATTTTCAGAATTGTGTTAGAATGTATTTTATTTTTAAATTTTAGAATTTTAAGTATTCGTTGATTGATATATAATCAGAATTTACACATCAGAATTTCTGTGTTTCAGTTTTATTTGTTGTTCAAATAAATTCTGATTTTTATTATTAAATATTCTGATTAATTTTGTAAAATTAGAATTCTAATATAAGTATATTTAATCATAAAAATCTGAATTATAGAAATTAGAATAACCAGAATTCAGAAGAATACCAGAATAATTAATCAGAATTATTTATAGTAATAATCGGAATTTATCTGAATATAGGTATTTAAAAAATCAGAATTTATTTATCAAATTTATTTCAAAATTAAATAAGTTTATTTTTAGATGCAAGACTCCGTTTTCATTCTGTCAAAGGCAACAATGTTGTTATACAAAATAATGGAACAACTGCAGTCCGCAAACATGGAGAATATGTAAAAAATATTTTTTTCTATTTAAAAAATTATTTATTTTTCAGTATTTGGGTTATGTCTTCACTGAACGCCCTATTCGAATTGGAGAAAAAATTGTAATTTTGGTCAGTATGACAGAAGATGCTTTTTCTGGCAGTTTAGCCTTTGGATTAACTAGCTGGTTATTTTTGAATTATTTTTTTAGAAAAAATTAGAAAAAATTTTTTTAAGCGATCCTGACCAAGTCCCCGCTGCTCGTCTTCCTGCCGATAGCGATGAATTACTCGAACGCCCTGAATATTGGGTTTGTATTAAAGACGTTGGGGCTAGCCCTCAAGTTGGTACTACACTTAATTTTAAAGTGGATTGTACAGGTTTCTTTTAAATTTAATTTTAAATATTTTAATCCGATTTTATAGGCCGTGTTCTTTTCTCCAAAAATGATGCTCCTTTTAGAGTGATAATGCATGTTGATGTAAGTATTCCACTTTGGGCTTTCTTTGATCTCTATGGAAGCACAAGGAAAATTCAAATATTGGGTGAGTTTATTAATAGCTTTTAGAGTTTTGGATAAATTTCTTTCTTGGGAGAAACCCTTGACTAAAGATCGGACTAGAGGGCTGTACAAGAATCGGGTTCTTGATTCCGTATTTTTTGTCCGAAATCTCGTCTCTGTCCGATCTCTACTCTCGACCATGTTTAAAAAGGAAACAAACCATTTTCATAGAAATTTAATAAAAAGATTTTTGGAAATGATTGATTATTTAAAAAATCTTGCGGAACGAAAGCTATTTTTCAAGTCTAAAAGGACTAATTGTACTTGTTTTTTAAATTTATTTGTTAAGATCTCGATCAACCTTTGAGTCCAGCAGAGTATATAGCAATGCGGGGACATCGTGCTTCTTCAGAAGGTGCAGCTTCTGCTCATGGTGATTCTAATGACACTTCTTTATACATTTCACCTACAACGCGTTTGAGTAGGCCGTCTTCTGCACAATGGAATATGGTTTCTATATTTTTAAATTTAATTCATAAACTCAAAACTTGTCCTGACATATGGGCAGTTGACAATTGAATATTAGACATTTGGGGATGGGCGCTCGGGAATAAAGTTGTGGTTCTTCGAAGATCTCCGGATCTCCGGAATCAACCGTAGAACTAAACCAAAAAACCTCAGTTCTTCGTTTCGGTTCCGAGCCGAAGAACTCTACAAGATTAGTAACTATCCAAATGTTCACTGTCTATACGTCCTGTAGCCAACGAATCAAATTTAATTTTTAGGAATCTCTACGTGTAGCACTTCCCGAACCCTTAAGCATTACTCCACCTACCCAATCAACAGCAGTTTCAACTACTACAAATTCAACATCAGCATTATCAGAAACTACAACATCTGCCCCATCATTTTCAGCTCCTTCCTATTCTTTACACGAACCTAGAGATTTAACAAATTTACGTGTAGCAAATACTTTACGGCGTCTTAATCAGCAACAAGCTGATTTATTAGCAGAAGCAAATTCTTCAATAAATTTAGCTTCAACAACAACAACAACATCAGCAGCAGCAATCTCTTCTTCAACAAATTCTCCTTCAGCCTATTCAACTCCTTTATTTTCATCCCCATACACTTCAACATTATTAGGAGGAGGAGGAAATAATTCTACTAATAATTCTGAATCATCGTCTCAGGCAGTAAATGATTTTATCAACAATTATAGACAAATACAAAGGGAAAGAATGCAAAATCATTCACGTTCACCTGTTAGACCAATTAATAATAATCAAAGAGGAAATAATAGTAATAATGCTGCAGCTAATTTATTTGAATTTCCTAATGCTCCAACAACAACTAATTCGGGTGCTTCAATTACGGTGAATTGAATTCTTGAAAAAATTATTTTTGAAGGAAACATTTCGAGAGATCTTGAAGTAGTCGGACTAGGCTATAAAACACTCTAGAGGCTCAAATAATTATATTTTAATAACGGGGGATATTTTTAACTTTAAAATGAATAGTTTCATGTAGGCAGCACTCCTCACCTCACCAATAGCCAACCAACATTTAAAGACTAACTTGAGTGGTATTGTAGCTAATATGTATTTGGTGATTATTAAGAAGCGTTGCTGACATTAAAAATAAATTCATGCTCTAGCGAACCTGGATTCTCGGGATTAAAAAAAGCTGTTAGTTCCCGATTTTTCAGTCAATCCGGTACAATTTGGGACGGCACAAATTAATTTATATCTAAAACTAATTAACATTAAAAATTTTTCTCTTTAAAAGGTTCCATTACTTCCTGCCCCACTTTTCTCTTCTTTAAACGTTCCATCCAACGAACAACAAAATTTAAGAAATAGAGCTGCTGAATTTGAAGCAGCTTTGTCTTCAAGTTTATCAAGTGATCATTCACCAAATCGACGGTCTCTTCTTGAAGGAAATCGTCAAAGTAGTGGTGAAGGTGGAACAACAACAGCTGTAAATAATAATAATAATGATGCGGATGCTGCAATACAACTTGAAGATGGAGATCGTAACAATGAATGTACAATTTGTATGACGAATCGTGTTAATGCGGTAAACTTCTGAATTGAAAAATTTTTTTAACCATTCAAATTGAAATTTAATCATTTCAATTTTAATAACAATTACAATTAAAAAATCAGGATTACTAGTAGGGTTAGATCAATTGATCAGATCGTTATCTGGTTTTTATTTTTTAGGCTAAAAACCACCCGGTTTCCAGATTACCGGTTGCGGAACTCTATCCCCGGATCGGACTCGGAATTTAATTACTATTATTTTTTTAATCAGAATTACAATTAGAATAGAAATCAGAATTAATTTCAAACTCCAAAAAATAATGAGTCTCTTTCAATGAAAATTTCTTTTTTTTTTCAGGTTATTTATCGATGCGGGCATATGTGCATGTAAGCTATACTTACATATATATTTTTAATACTTTAATTTTCTATTTGCAATTTAAAAAAATTTTTTTAGGTGCTTTCCATGTGCTAAAGAAACACATCGTCGTTCTGGAGATTGTCCTATTTGTCGAACTCCTATAAGTAAAAATTATTTTTTAATTAAAATAATTTTTTTTAATTTTTAAAGTTGATGTAATCCGTTGCTATCCAGTTTAAATTTAAAAATATTTAAATGCCTTATTAAAAGAATTAATGTGTTCTTTCACTTTTTTGTGTGTGTGTGACCAGTGTTTTTTTTTCAACAAATTAACGCTTTATTTAAAAATTATAATTTTGTGATTGAGTGCCTTTTGAACCTTTCGAGGATTTTTTTTTAATTTTTTTGAAAAAATACAAATTATTTTGGTTTGTTAAAAAATGGTGCTCAATCCTGATCCTGCTCAAATTTTCTCTTTTACTTACAAAAAAATGTGTATGTATAATTTACCAACCTATAAATTTCCTTATTTTGTGACATAATAACTTGAAATTTTCTTTTAATTTTTGGGTAAATATTTTAATTTTTTGCTGCTAATTTTTTCCATTTTAAACAGTCCAGTTTTTTTTAAATTTTTATCTATTTCTGGGGTTGAACACATCTGATTATCAACCATTAACAGGGAAAACCTAAAAACCAGCATTTTCGGTTTTCAACCTCCTTCGGTTCCCATTCGTTAACCGTTTGTGTCCAAACCTTCAGTGTTTAATAAAAAATTTTTTTGAATTTTTAAACAAATGAGAAACTGTTCTTAATATATTCAGATGTGAAACTGGTCTGTACCATGAATCCTGCCGACCCGAATTTTGATTTTCGAACATTGTGAATAGAGAGATTTTTATGTCGGCAGGATACCTATTAAAAAGCATTTCATGGTCCTATATTTAATGACTACAATATTGTGTGATTTTTTTGTATAATTATAATTGAAATACATATATTGGATTGGGAATAAATATTAATAAATTTAAATTTGGAAATTTAAAAAATTTTTTCATAGCATGTATATGTAGGTATTAGTAGCTATTTAATTCCTAAGGCTCTGAAGGATGTGACGTAGTTGATGGATAGATAACACAATGCTCAATTGAAAACCTTTTGTATTAACTAAAGTAGTAACTAAAGTCCCTATTTACTAAAGTCCCTATTTTTAAGAATTCTAAACTACAATAAAGTAAGAGATGTTTTGTGGATTTGTTAACACACAATGATTTAACGACAATCTGATTTTTATTTAATAAATTATTTTATTCTGATTTTTATTTATTTTTATTTAATAAATTAACCCTTTTTAATGATTTAATTGAAATTATGAAAAAGAATAGAAAAAGAATTAAAATTATAAAAAAAAATAATATTTTAGAATATGTATCTCCATAAATCAAACCCCAAAAAAAATTAATTTAAATTAAATAAAAATTTATTCATTCTGACAAGTAAAGCTCAATTTGTCTCCATTTATTTTGCAAAGTCCCAAACAACAAAAAGTTTTAGGACTATTAAATTTACTGCAATAATTACCAGTATGCAAACATTTAGTGCATATGTGATGGACACATGTTGTTCCTCCACAACATCCAATTTCATCCTCGTTATTGCATGTTCCATTTTCTGGATTACATTGACCTGCGGAAATCAAAAATATATGCTTTAGAAGATGTCGACAACATCTCTATTCGAAACCAAACTATAAAGCTAAACAGGGCTAGAGCCAGTGCTAGGTATTTGCCATTTGTTGGCTCCGGAGCTGGAGGAGCTCCGCCGGAGCCGGCTCCGGAGCTATTTCCCGGAGCCATACCCAGGATTGGCTAGAGATGTTTGTTCCTTCTGCTAATGCAGAGAATTATTCCTCGGCTGGAGGCGAACAAGCATCAGATTTCTGGTGACCTAAGTGATATATTATCCATTATCCGACTCCTGCATAGCCTTAAAAATTAAATAGCTATGTGCTCTACGGAACTGACAAACCAGAGATTTTACTGGTTGGTTTATTATAAGAATTTCCTAGGTTTATTCGCTTGCTTTAATACCTGGAAGGCATTTATTTGTGTAGTAGAAGCTGCCATTAGATTTTGGACGATTTTGGCATGTTAACCCTTCACAACAACCCTTAGTACATTTATTCTTGTCACAGCAATCATCCCCTTGTTTTATACATTCTTGACTAGTTATATATTCAAATAAAATAAATAATATTATTGTGAAAATAAATATAATAGTTAAAGAAGCTGTTGAATAATTCATCTTTTATTGAAACTTTTGGAAAATCTGAAATTTAAAGAAGGGATTGGACCGTTAGGACGAAGGGTCATGTGGAAAATTTTGTGGGAAATTTTTGAGAAGGCTTTTTTGGGGGAGGAAACGTTAAGCTTTCTACTAAAATTTTTTAAATAATTTTAGAATTTATATATATATTTTATTCTAATAGAATGGCCTCTCCAATAGAATGGCTCTTTTTAGGGGTAATGAAAAATAGATTGGTCCGATAGGACTAATGGTTGTTAGTAGGGTTGGTCTCCGAGTGAAAGGGAGGGTCATTTGGAAGATTTTCTGGGAGGTTTTTGGCTCTAGTTTAGGACATGGTCCCATGGGGGTTTATGCGTTCCATGTGCTTTTATGCGTCCCATCAAAGAATATGCGTCCCAAAAATAGTAGGCGACCCATCAGTATTTTTGGGACGCATATACTCTGAAGGGACACTTATAGTATTTTAGGGACGCATAAAAGCTAGGGAATGCATGTCCTAAACTAGAGCCGGCTTTTTTGGGGGGGGGGGGGAAACTTTAAACTTTTTACTTAAAAATTTTTAAAAATTTAAGGATTTCTATATTTTATTTTACTTTGAAAAATTATTTAATATTATTTTGCTAAAAAATAAAAAAAATTTAAATAAAATTAAAAAATGATATGGCCAATTCAGATTCAAAATCATTTTTAAAAGCTTCGTACAAACAACAAAATACAAAAAATTTTATAAAAAATTGTTTGGAATTTAAAAAAAAATTTTTATTATTTAAACAGCATTAAAAATAAAAGCTTTTAAATTTAAGAATTAATTTATCAAGCAAAAATTTCTAAATATAGTTTTAAAAATTATTTTTTTATGTAACTAAAAAGCATCCAACGCAATTTTGATGCTTTGCGATTGAGTGTTCATGAGGCAGTTTCATGTGACAGGCATGATAATGAAAGGGTTATGAGGAAGCAATTACTAGCTTTCATTCGAATGAAAAATATTTTTTTGGAATTGATATTTATGGCGTAATTGGAAATTGTTAAATCAATTTTAAAAAATTTTGTTTTTCATATTAGCAATGTTTGAAAATTTTTTATAAAAATTTCTTTGAGCATTTCCATTAATAACTTTTATCCAAATGGACTCACAAAGGAGCCTCTTAAATCAGAAACAAAATATATTGACTTTGAGCATTTCCATTAATAATAAGTTGAGTTGAGTACCTTTTTAATCAAAATCTCGAATCACAAAAATCAACGGGAAATAAAAACTCAGTTTAAAAATTGAATTTTTGTATTTTACTAATTAGTTTTAATTATTAATTTTTAATCAAAATTGTCATAAAAAATTATTTTGAAGTTTCGATTTAGGTTATTGCCCCAGAAAAGCTGTCGTTAGTAAATGAGGTAATAATCCTATTTGTATTTACAATTGTAAATGTATATTAAAACTTGGAAAACACATTAATTAAACTTTGTTAAACACGGAAAAACACATATAATAAACTTACGAAAACACAAATAAACATATTAAAGTTGTAAACACATTAAACTTGTTTTTAAAAATAAACTTGCTAAAACACATTAAAAATACAAACATTTTTGTGTTTTATATAATTTATTCAAATTTATAAATAAAAATAAGCTCTATAATTATGGGATAAATCGAATAAAAGCTTGTATGAAAAATTTCCACTATTTTTTCTACAAATCAATTTTATAGTTTAATAGTTCTGTTGACCTAAAATTAATTAAAATTAATTTTAATAATTTTTTAATTCTAACCTTACCTATAAGCCTCAATTAAAGGCCTTCTTTGTTCTTCAATTAATTTATTACCCATTTTATTAATATTAATATTCTGTCCTTTATTAATTAAAGGATTATTCATTTCATTAAAATTGAGTTGATTATTGAACATTCTTGGATTATTATAATTTACTGATATAGGTAGAGGGGAACCGGAAGCTGAAAATTAGAAAATGTTTTGTATTTATTTTAATTGTGTTTTGATTGTGTTTTTGTGTTTATAAAATTGTTTTGTTTGTGTTTCTCATAAAAACAAGTTTGTAAAATTAAAACTTGGAAACAAACTTGAATGTTTTTGTTTTTGTTGTTTGTTTGTTTGATGTTTTTATAAATGTTTTTATTCAAGTTTTAAGTTTGTTTCCAAGTTCAATTTTAATGTTTTTAATGAACATGTTTTGATTCAGGTTTAAAATGTTTTAACAAGTTTTAAACATTTTTATTTATTTCTTTTAATGTTTAGAAACATTCCAAACTTTAGAAACATTTGTTTCTGTTTTTCTCAACATACCATAAATATGACTGCTAATTTTACTCATTTCTTCATCTGCCCTAGTTCTATGCAACATTTGAGGTTTATTCATTCTAACATATCTTTCCAAAGTTGAAGCTTGCATTGGTAAAGATGAGGGCCAATTCACAGCAGTTGTGTTATTAACAGGTAAAATAGGTGGAGGAATGCGTGGTGGGGGAGGCAAGAAACAATTATTATTAAAATAAGGGTCAGTTGAAAATGTTGGGATTAAATTCTGACTTAAATTCTGATTTAAATTCTGATTGTTGTTTGTGTTTATATTGCTTATTTTTGTGTTGTTGTTGCTATTAGTTGCTGAGGTGGAAGAAGACGAAGTTAAAGTATTTGGCAGTTGATTTAAACTTTCTTTTTGATTTTTCCCTTCAGAAAATTTTTCTTTAAATTTTTGTTGTTTCCTTCCATTGTTATATATTCTAAGACAAAAAAGCCATCCAATTAAAGGAATAAATCCAATTATAAATAGGCCTAACAGGCAAAGAGTTAAAGCTCTAAAAAGAGGCGATTGAGACAAGTAAAGGTTCAATAAAGCATGAGTTGAAGGAATTAATGAATTAGAGTCGACAACAGAAATGTTTATTGAACGGTAAACAAACTGGCCAGCAGGGTTTGTTACAACACAGAAATAACGGCCAGAATCCTTAAAAAATGTTTTCTTCTTGTTTTAATGTTTTAGTATGTTTTTCTAGTGAAAAATTAGAATAATAGGGGTATAACATTTTTGTCAGAATTTTATCCGAACAGAAAAAAAATCAGAATTTAATCTGAACATGAACGATGTTTTAGTATGTTTAGCATGTTTTTATTAACCAAGTTTTAATGTTTTAAATGTTTTTAAACATGTTTATGTTTTGAAACAAATGTTTTGAATGTTTTTAAATACAAAAACATTCAACATGTTTAATGTTTTTAAAAATGTTTTTAAACATGTTTTAATATGCATAAACAAGGTGTACAAGTTTTAGGTTTGTTTAACAATGTTTCCCGTGTTTTGTAATTATTTTTCAAAACTTGCCTCTTTCTGCATGTTTGTAATTCTCAATTCATTCAAAAAATGTTTTTGTCCATCATTTTCTGATTTTTCCACACGGACAGGTTCTTCTTCCTGTTCAATCATCAACAATGTAATTTGTCCAAGTTTTAAAAGACTAGAATTGGGTGCCTTTGCTTTAACAGCATTTACATCAGCATTGTCTAATTGCCGAAGCCACTGAAAAAAATTTTTTTTGACTTTCCTCCCTAAAAAATTCCTTACTCTTATCACAGTTTTGTCCCTTTCCCCTCTCCATTCAACACGGCATTGCAATTCTGCGGTATTCCCTACATGCAATTTTTGTTGTCCATGAAGTACATCAATTCTTGGAGTTGATGGGGGAACAACATTTGAAGCTGCAGCTCTCATATGTGAAGGTATTGAAGAGGAAATACTTCCTCTAGAAGGCAAATTTTGTGTTTTTTCTTCATTATTTTCAACAAATATTTTTTCTTCGCTATCTTCTTGTTCAACTATTTGAAGGGAAAAATCTGCTCTAATCGCTCCTAGATTATTTTCTAAACGACAGGCATAGATTCCGGCATCTTGAGGACGAACACGGTCAAATGAGAGATGCGACATTTGGCCTAGCTCTGTTAAAAACGAAAAAATTTTTTGGTTGTACTGCTTGAACTTGATGGGGTAATAAAAAATTCAAGCAATTTGGGTTTTAAATTTTCGGTTGTACTGCTTGAACTTGATGGCTATAAAAATGGGGATTTCTGTTAAATTTTTTGGGTGTACTGCTTGAACTTGATGGAGTAATAAAAATTCAATTTGGATTTCTATTCCAATTTTCACCTTGTTCAGAATGTCCTGTCAGCCTTAACCAAGTCATTCTAGGCAACGGATTTCCATGTGCTGTAGGGCATTGTAATTGAATGTGTTTGCCTTTGTTTACACGTATTTGGATTGGAAGAGGGCCTAATTTATTTAAATTAATTTTTTTTCTTAACTTATATTTTTACCTATTGGTTCATTCCATGTTGGAGCACTTACTTTAAATAATTATTAAAATTAAAAAAATATTTTTTTAAATATTTACTTTCACTAGATCTAACAACGTCAGCTACTGTATTAGTTGGGTCAAACACTTGTAATCGAAATTCTACACTTTGATGGCCCCACTCGTTAATGGCCTAGGATTTAATTTTATAATTCCTGGGTATTTTAAAATAGGACATTCAAAATTCACCGTGCATCGATAAAGCCCACTATCCTCACTCCTCGCCTGTAAAATCCACAGATCCCTATTTCCATTAGCCATATTATAATGTCCATTATTCCCAGTCTCCAAAGCCCTCCCATCTCTACTCCATTTAATAATTAATTCGTTTTCTAAATTTGTTTCCTCATTAATCTGATGATTATTATGTCCCCATTCCTCTTCTGAACTTGTCCTAACTGGACAGCTCAATTTAAATCCTTTGGTGCCCAAAGCAATGCGAATTGGAGATTGTTGGCCTTCCAAAGGGAGAAGTTGGGGAGGCGCTGGAAGAAAATTTTTTTAAAAATTTTTTTATTTTTGTCCAGTCCCTCTACCTTCTTTAAAAAATTTTTTTAATTTTTTTCCTTCAAACAATTTTTGGCTTGGTTTTCCTTATGTCATTTCATATATAGGTAAATATACTTAGATATACTTTAATAGTGCCAATAGCCCAAAAAGCAAATATTACATTTAGACAAATAAACTGGGGGGTCTATTTGTTTAATTGAGAGACTATGGCAACCAAAAAAAAAAATAAAAAGGAGATTTACTTAAAAAAGGTTGAGAAAGAAGTATATTATATTTTGTTGACCGGAAGTAGGTCACAAAGCAATATCACAATGGGAAAATATACAGTTAACAAAAGAAAATCAGAATTTGTGTTTTTAAATTTTTAAAAAGAACAGAATATGTATTTTACAAATTTTATTTCAGAATTTGAAAAAATCAGAATCTTATTTCAGAATTAAAAGAACCAGAATTTATGTATTTCAGAATTTATTAAAAATCAGAATTTAAAAATCAGAATCTATGTATTTCAGAAAAAACACAAACAAAACACACACATGAAACTTGAATTAAAAAACAGAATTTATGTATTTTATTTAACAAATATTAAATACAAATGTATTTTCCTAAATCAGAATTTCAGAATAAATAATTACAAGCCTTTTTTGTATGTTTCTATTTTAATCTTCCATTTACCAAATTTTTTAATAAAAGCACAGAATTAAAAAATAAAAAAAATAAAAAAAGCAGATGGCACTCGGAAAGACCACCAACGATGCGTAAAAATAATGAAAAAAAAATAAAAAAAAGAGAAAAATTTTTTAATAATAAGGCATTGTTAGCAGCAATTTTGTTGTCCGCGCACCCTTCAAATGTAGCAATTCGAGTATATAGTAAATTTAAATGGAAAAATTAAATAAATTTGCATTTTTAATGTTTATTTAATGGGGTTAATTAGGGGTTTTTTTCAGAATATTTTTCCAGAATTTTTCAGAATTTTTTCCAGAATTTTTCAGAATTTTTTCAGAATTTTTTCCAGAATATTCTAAATTTTCAGAATTTAATGTCAGAATTCTTCAGAATTTTTTCAGTACATTCGGAATTTTCAGAATTATTTTTTCAGAATTTTGTCAGAATTTTTTTCAGAATTTCCTTTCAGAATTATTTTCAGAATTTTTCAGAATTTTTTTCAAAATATTATTCAGAATTTTTTTTACCAGAATTTTTTTTCAGAATATTTTTCAGAATTTCTTTCAGAATTTCTTTTCAGAATTATTTTCAGAATTTTTCAGAATTTTTTTCAAAATATTTTTCAGAATTTTTTTCAGAATTATTTTTCAGAATTTTTTTTCAGAATATTTTTCAGAATTTTTTTCAGAATTATTTTTCAGAATTTTTTTTCAGAATAATTTTCAGAATTTTTTTTCAGAATAATTTTCAGAATTTTTTTCAGAATTATTTTTCAGAATTTTTTTTCAGAATTTAATATCAGAATTTATATTTTTCTATGCAGTATTTTATAATTATTTTCAGAATTAATTTAATTTATTTTTCAGCCTATTCTCTATTTAATTTTTCATGTCAACCAATTTATTAAATTAAAAACACATTATTATCCATTAAATTGTCAAATAAAATTTTAGCAAAAAATTTAAGCATTATTTCTACATTTTTTCAATTATTTCCCATTCCTTTATTTTCTATTTATTTTTGCCAAATTTATTTTTCTTAGCTCTAATTTTCCAATTTTGCCCTTAAAATCCTTCAAAATTGTGTCAATCTTTGGCCGACAATTTGCGCAATTTTAAAATTTATGCACTACAAAACGTTCTTTTTATTTTTAAATCCTCTAGAGGATATATTTTGGTAAATAAAAGGAGTAAATTTGAAAGAAAATTTAAAAAGAAGAAGCAAATAGAGTGACCATTAAAGAGTTGGATATTTGAAAGGAGAATTTTAATAAAAAAAATAAAAAAATTTTAATTTCAAGACAAAAATAGTGACAAGATCAAAAAGTGACGAGCTTAGCAAGAATACAAAAAAAATTAATTAAAAGCAGGATAGAAATGCCCAGATATACACTAGTAGTGTTGTCAGGTCCTCAAATTGTAGGGCTCGGTATCCAGTTTTGTTTTTAAACTCATCCGGGCCATAAGAAAAAACCGGATTTCTTCACTCAATCCCGAACTGAGTTCGATATTAACTAGTATGTCAGTTTCGAATTTTTCTATTGTTTCGCTTTTTGTCTTTTATTTTTAAAATATGTTTTATTTAGCACCCTCTCGGCCTACTAGGATATTTTCTTTCTTTTTTTGTTTATTTTGCGGGTAATTTACAATTTTCCTCTTTAAAAAAAATTTGTTGCAAAACTACTGATATAAAATTTTAAAATTATTTTAAAATTACCATTTCTAACCCCTTCAATATTTTGTTGTCTCATAAATATTATAAAAATAAGTAAATAAATAAATCTTTTAGATAAACTAAATATTTTGGTTGTTTTTAATTTTGATAAGGGAGACAAGTGTGAAGAAGAAGATAATGATGATGACATAATTGAGAGGGGAAAGGACTTGGTTGTTATCTTAAAATTAATTTTTTTTTCAAAAATTATTTGTTTAATAAGAACGTATTAATTTGATAACTCTGACTAAATTTTCAACTTTATAACTAGGAATGGGGGTTTTAGGAACTTCCCAAGGTGGTCAAAGGGGTTTATAATAAGCCTATTTTTCGCCTTATTAACTTCCTTTTTCACTAATTTCTCTTTGATAACCAAATAATTCAAAAAAGAGAAGTTTTGCTAAATTGGGACCAAATGTCACCCTTTTTTGAAAGTTTTTTAAAGACCCTATTTGGAGGCTAACTTTCTTTTTTATTAATTTCTCAATATATGTAGGGGGAAAAATTTGGTAAGTAATCAAAACCTAATCTTTGCTAACCAAATAATTCAAAAAAGAGAAGTTTTGCGGAATTGGGACCAAATGTCACCTTTTCTTGAAAGTTCCCTTAAAGACCTTATTTGTAGTCTAAATTAATTTCTAAAAAATAATAACTAAAACGAGCATCTAGAAGGGAGAGTAAGAGGTAGATTAAGAGGGTATGGGTGTCCCAATTAAACAAAAAAAACAATTAATTGTTCTAACTAAAAAAATAAATTAATTAGGATTTATTAGTATAATAAATATTTAAAATATATGAGGTATTAAAAGGATTGGTATGTAAAAGGAGAGGAAAAAACGAAGAAAAATTGATTGACCCAAGTGATGAGAGAAGATTTACCGCTTTTTAAATAAGGCAGATGACGCTTACTTGGATGAGTGGATTATTATTTATTAGAGGGAATTTATATTTATTTATTTAGAGGAAATGGGAGAGGGCAAAAGTATTTTTTAAAAATATTTTTTTTGAAAAATTAGGAGTATTATCAGTGTGTAGAGGGGTGGGAAGGTATTAGGGATTAATTACGGGAAGTAATAACTAAGGGGGATTATCAAAATATACTGGAGAATTCTCAATCCCACATAATTTTCCTCGGTAATAGTTTGAAATTCGCCCCCCTCTTCTTTTCCCGTTTCCTTGACCATTTTGAACTCTTTCTAAATATATAATTTGCCATAATGATAAGAAACTAAGAAAAAATAGAAAGGAAAAAAAGGGGGGAGGGGGGGTAATTTTAGTAGAAACTAATAATTAGTAGAAACTTGCTAGTGCTTAAATGTTTCCGGAAAGTTTAATTCTGAAAAATAATTCTGAAATAGAAAATTCTGAAAATAATTCCGAAAAAAAATTCTAGAATAGAAAATTCTGAAAATAAATTCTGGTAAAAATAATTCTGAAATAGAAAATTCTGAAAATAATTCTGAAAAAAAATTCTAGAATAGAAAATTCTGAAAATAAATTCTGGTAAAAATAATTCTGAAATAGAAAATTCTGAAAATAATTCTGAAAAAAAATTCTAGAATAGAAAATTCTGAAGAAAAATTTCGAAAATATATTCTGAAAAATAATTCTGAAAAAAATTCTTAAAAAATAATTCTGAAATAGAAAATTCTGAAAATAATTCCGAAAAAAAATTCTAGAATAGAAAATTCTGAAAATAAATTCTGGTAAAAATAATTCTGAAATAGAAAATTCTGAAAATAATTCCGAAAAAAAATTCTAGAATAGAAAATTCTGAAAATAAATTCTGGTAAAAATAATTCTGAAATAGAAAATTCTGAAAATAATTCTGAAAAAAAATTCTAGAATAGAAAATTCTGAAAATAAATTCTGGTAAAAATAATTCTGAAATAGAAAATTCTGAAAATAATTCTGAAAAAAAATTCTAGAATAGAAAATTCTGAAAATAAATTCTGGTAAAAATAATTCTGAAATAGAAAATTCTGAAAATAATTCTGAAAAAAAATTCTAGAATAGAAAATTCTGAAGAAAAATTTCGAAAATATATTCTGAAAAATAATTCTGAAAAAAATTCTTAAAAAATAATTCTGAAATAGAAAATTCTGAAAAAATAATTATGAAAAAAATAATTCTGAAAATAAATTCTGGAATAAAAAATTCTGAAAGTAATTCTGAAATAAATAATTAAAAAAATTCTGAAACAATAAATTATTCTAATTATTCAGGAAAAAATTCTGAAAATAATAAATAAAATAAACTTTCCGGAAAGACTAGAATTAATTAATTAAAATTTGCAATTATTAAATAGCAAGCAAGTTTATGATTTTAACAAGTTGTTCGCAACCTTTAAGCAATTTTAATTTCCCTTTTAAAAAATTAGCAACATTTCCCCCTCATAATAATAAATTATAACAATTAATTAACAACTTTGTATCAAGCGTCGGAAAAACAATAAAAACCCCCTTTTTTTAAAAAGCCATAAATCTGCCATCATCACACACACAAATCACTTAAAAAGTAATAAATTTAGTAGAGGAAGGGGGATTTTCTAAAAACAGTAGTTGTAGTAATAAATAATAAAAAAATTTATGGTTGGGCGGAAAATGATGGAAAGAGGGGGAGAGGGGGGGGGGGAGGGAAGGGAGAGGAAGGGGGAAGGGAGAGGGACGGCGCTTGATTGAGTGCCCTTGTCATTTTTGTGAGGGGAGGGGCTAAATGAGTAGCCACTTCCTTCTAAATACTCTCTTTTCTAAATAGTGGACATTGGGGGAAGGAAGGAGAAAGGGTTTTTGGTCAGTAAAGTGAGTGAATAAAGCCCCCAAATATTTAAGGGTCATCTGGGGGTCATTTCGGCGCGGACTTAAATATTGGAGAGGAATATAGAAAAATAATTGGTCAAAGGGGCTACTTACGAGAACAATCGACGAAAGTGGAACATTTATAAATGCATCTGTTCAATCAACAAAACAATTGAACTGGGAAATAATTATTTGGAATTTCCGGGTAGAGTGAGTAATAATTTTGTTTTGAAAAAATGAGGGTATTAATTTAATAACATACTACATATAATATTTCTAGATATTTCTAGATTCCTTCAATCAGGGTTGTCGAAAATCAAAAAAAATTTTGTAGAAAAAATTTCTAAACAAACAAAATTTATTCTCTAAATTGACCGAAGGGTTTTTTAACTAAATAATATTTTTCCTAAATTTTTGAATTTTGCCTTGGGCAGTAATAAATGACAGCTTAAAATACACCGTGACCATTATGAGTCTTTTTTGTCTTTTGCTTTAAAATTATATTATTTTATACACTTCGTTACGGTCTCAATTAGTCACACCAAACATAATATTACCTAAAATTCTGTATATTAGTGATGTTCGAGACTCTCGGTTTGGTCTTGGTCTTGGGGGTGATTCTCGGTCTCGGTCTCGACTCTCGGCTTCTTTTAACTCTCGAAGATCACTATTGTATATGGGACATTTTTATGATAGTTTGGCGTTTTTATATTTTTTGTCGTCAAAGTGCCTATTTTTTGACAATTGTGTCATATTTCTCATTTTAACTTGCAAAAAAAATTTTTTAATGTTTTCTTTGCATTTGCTGTTATTTTTTAATATTTTTTTCAAAAAAATATTCTGTAATTTAAAGCCATTTTAAAAACATTTTTTCATTCATTTTAAAGCTTATTACCTTATTTTTGTTAAATACCAACTGTCACTTTTTTACACTTTAAAGTTTCTTTAAAAAATATTTAAGGGCCAATCGCTGCCTAAAATTTTTTTAAGGAAATCGAGAAAAAATAGTAAAAAAAGGGAAAGATGCTTATCTGTCATTTTCTACAGAAAAAGGGAGGAAGGGAAGAAAGAATTTGACAAGCAAAAAAAGTAGAAAACGTCAAGAAAATGAAGTTGTGCGCCAAGGACGGCGTTGTGTTTAGCAAAGATTTTCTTATTAAGTTTTTTAATAGGGGGGGGGGGGGTGTCGAAAATTCAAAAAATTTTGCCGTAAAAATTTTTTCATTAAAAAATCCACAATTAAGATTGTAAAATACATAGCTGAATTACCATTTCGTTGTTTTATTTTTAAAATCCGCAATCTTTATTGAAAAAATCCATATAATCTGATCAGTCGCAAATGCTTACGGACTGTGTTTTAAGATGTTTTTAAAAAGTATTGTAAAGTTACTGAAGATGTTGGCCGCCTAAATAATCTTTTGTATTATCTAAAAAAGAAATATAATAGCTAGCTCATGTTAGCTTTATTGTATTAATGAGATCATGATAATTCTACACAGAATTAAGAAAATTCTTTGTTATGCAAGAGATTATCCCCTTGCGGAATAGGTGAGAAATTCACTTATAGCAGGGAAGAATCGAGGACTAGTATTGGACGGGTATAAAATACCTACCCCCGTCTTCAACAAATTTCATCTTGACCACATTAAATTTAACACGTTTTTATTCCTCCAAAAAATTTTGCGTTTTGCACCATTGAAACTTTTTTGGCGCACAGCAAAGAAAATAAAGCTCTTCCTTTCCCCTTCCATTCCCCCTTTATATTTTTCTTCAATACTTTGACGAGTTTTGAGTTGACGAGTAGAGAACTACCTTCTCTACTACTTTTTTTATTTGGGTGGATGCACAAATCCCGCGAGGAATGCCACCTAGTATTTTACTTATATTATAGTTGATGGAGTGTAAAAAAGCAAAAAATAAATCGAAAAATGATAAAAACATATGTGGACAGGTAAATTGGGAGAGAATTGGGATTTTTTAAAAAATATTCATAATTATTCTCATAATGTCTAAAGAATTAAAAATTTTTTTCATTTATATTTGGCCTAATAAACGAAGAAACCTCCAAATTAAGTAGAACATCAATTCTACATATAGAGGGTGGTATCGCCTGGATAGCTCCCCCACCCAAGGACTACCCAAAATTAAATAGACGTCTCTTACATAGAAAGGTATATCTGGTATTGGGGTACCTATAATCAGTTTTTTATAGAGGTGTATCTTAGATAGAGGATCCTTTGACGGCTCCCAAACCCAGAAATAGAGGGGTATCTTGTAGGAAATTATTTTAAATAATTTATTTAAAATACCTGATTTTTCTTCCATTTTTAATAAATCGGAATAAAATTTTAAAATTAAAAAACACATTATTTGGGTATACCAAAAATGTGGTCTGGCTCTTAATTTTAT